TTACTGGTTCAGGACTCTGAAGACTGTCGTCTTGGGGTTTTACTGGTCCAGGACTCTGGAGACTGTCATCTTGGGGTTTTACTGGTCCAGGACTCTGAAGAATGTCATCTTGGGGTTTTACTGGTCCAGGACTCTGAGGACACTCATCTTGGGGTTCTACTGGTCCAGGACTCTGAGGACACTCATCTTGGGTTTTTACAGGTCCAGGACTCTGAGGACTGTCATCTTGAGGTTTTACAAGCTCTGGGCTCATAGGACTGTCATTCTCGACTTCGACTGGCCCATGGCTTTCAGTGAAAATCCCCTGAATGTCTGCTTTCTTTTCATCTTCAGTGCTGTGGCAGGGCTTTCCTGGACCCAGCGTGTCCATTACCTCCTCAATCTCCTCCATGTCTGTGTCTACGTGTGCAGACGTGGATGCGCTAGGTGAACCGGGTGCAGGTGTTCCCATTACAGGTGTCTCACAGTCACTATTAGTCGCAGTGTCAGCATTTTCCAGGGCTGCCCAGATCAGCCTCTGCTGCTCCTCTAGTTCCTCCAGAGTCAGCTCATCCTCTGATCCCTCCACAGTGTCGACTACAGTCCAGTTACGCCCAGACAGCGCTGGAGAGCCATTGGTGGGTGTGGGAGGAGGCGTACCTTTAGGGAGAGGTGGGGGAGTGGGTGTAGCAGGGGGAGTGCCGTGTGGTAAGGGAGGAGGTGAGCTGAAGCACGGAGAGCCAGGAGGCCGCGGGGGTTGGAACTGGAAGTCATTGGAACCATGTTGAGGGGTTCCTGGATCTGTGGAGATATACATTTGAAAAAAATTTAAGTGAAGATCAGAAAATAGACAGCTGTTTATCCTGCTTTAAAGCCACAAATTAAAAATGTGAAGATATAGAGATTGAGATTAAGAAAACTGCAGATCAGTATTGATGCATATCAGAGTGCCAGCAAATGAAAGTGATCAAGATGACTGATTACCTGATTCAATATCCATATCTGAGCTTCTCTCTGAGCTCCTGTCAGGTGTGCACTTAGTCTTCTTCCTCTGTTGCGGAGATGAGTCAGATTCTTGTCGTCGTTTGTTGCTGGTTGCACCGGACTGTTTGTAAAAAGGAACGAAATGTTCAAAGGCTTAGACCATTTTGGGGTTCTGACCAAGTAATATCCGTAACATCCAGTGACTGCCTGGGTCAAGTATTAGACAAGCAATGCTAAAATAAAAGCAGCTGTGGAGCTGAGATGAAATCGCTGATCCATTAAGATCAATACCCGAGGAAAGTTGCTGGACAGGTAGGCCGCATAGTTTTGCTTCATGTGGCTGTTTTGTATTGGAATCGAACCATACTGCAAGAATTCCTAAAATTCAGGAAAAAGAAATGACAAGATTTTCACAAAAGTTAATTGCGCCATCAAAACTAACTGAAACTGATTCATTGGATTGTTTCTCCTACTTAAGGTCAATGTTACGCCATACAGTAATATCTAGGCTGAGTTAATAAATAGCTTACTTATGACTTAGTTCCGCAAAACATTTGGTATGTATTGCTCTAGGACTTACATCTTTCATTTGGTGCGGAACCGGTATGTTGAATCCTGGAAAATCCACCAACTTGGAAACATCATAGGAGATGTTTTGCGAGTTGCTGCCATCTGTTACGCTGCCATCGCTGGATGCTAAGAAAGAGAGGAGAAACAGGTAAAAATTCTATGCCTTTCAAAGCATTGCTTCCCTACAATTTCTTTTAATGTTTATCAGCACGACCACACAGTTTTCAATTATAGACATGGAAAGAGAAAAAACATACCATTTCCATCATAAAGCGACAAACCAGAGTTTTCCATCTCCGCCTCTTTGAGCCAACCTGGTGGGTAGCCGAGCTGCCTCATGCGATAAATTAGAGGAGGGAGGGTGTTTCCATCGATTCCCAGTGCTGCCAGCAGCTCCTCACTGTTCAAAAGCACAATGGAGCAAAAACGTATAAATGATCAAGATTCTTGTTTCATTAGATGAAATTAAGATTTGTTTCTAAAGTAAACAAAAACAACAACAATCCTGCCTCATGACTCCAGGCTTGTAGTTTGCAAACCGCTCCTCCACTTCATCAGCATGGTAACGATGCATGCCATGCAAGCTCTGGTTGCTGTTCTGATTAAACTCCTTTCTTCTCTCATTAATTGCAGCCATATCTTTAGGCTGGGGAGGAAACGAGGTGCGATTACAGTCAAGCAAGTCCTGCGCCTTCTGCTATCAGCGTTGATTATTGCCATAGTAATGAAAGATGTATGGTACCTTGGGACAGTCTCTCAGTTGATGACTGCTGGAGCCACAATTAAAACACAATGATTTGGGTCTAAAAGGAGGAGATCAGTGACAGTTTAATCACACATCAACTGGTCATACAACAGCTAGTTAACAGACTATTAGCAATTCCAGCAATACCTTTTATCTTTCGTTTCAATTTCTTGTCCATCAGTTCCAATGACTTGGTTGAAAATCTGAAGGTAGCTTTGCGACAATTCAGGAAGTTATATTACCTCTGCCACTGCTGAATCTACATTGCTATAGTATGTCTGCCTAAAGTCTTAAGCCAAATCAAGAGCTGACACTTTTAAATAAGTATATCCATTAAAAATCAAGATCCCGTTTTTTTTTTTATAAAAAAAAGATAAGGTTTTCCCATTGATAAACTACACTGCTGCAAACAGCTTGGGTCTTGGTGAGCATTTATCTCTTTTAAAGATACATTGGAACATCCCATCCATCTGTCAGCTGGGGGTTGTCATTCACCAGGGGCTGTCCAAGTTTATCAACACTGAAAGCAGTGAAATATAAAACACTTCCAACCACCTAAAAGAAGAAAAAACCATTACATATTTGCTTGTACTTACTGCATGACAAGACATTCTGTATTGTGAAAAAACACTTTGCACTAACTTTGAAGGGTTCTGAAGTTGTTTTTGCATCGCTGTAAGGCAACGTCTGTGGATCTTCTTCCAAAGCAAAAGCAGAATTCTTGAAAAAGGTAAATCATTTTCTTTAACAACATGTTCATAACATTAACATATGCATCTTTAAGAAGGACCACGCTTCTCTGCATTCATACCTGCGGTTTCATTTGATAGAGAGACTTCTTTTCACTACTTGTTTTTTGATGCTTCAAGATCAAGCTGTAGATGCATTCTTCAATTTCTTGACGGCAATGCCTTAAAAAAAACGATTACTTTTTTGTTTTAGGAATCCATCACTATGTCTGCTGCACACAAACTACAAGAAACGCCATGCTGATACTTTACTCAAAAACTCATAATATGAAATTACAACAAGGGTAGCTAAACTAAACTTGACTTAAGACGGAGTTTACTCATCTTGTCCATGCATACAAATCAACAACGTTCAGTAAACACGAACAAACCAATTATTCAAAGTAAAAAGCGTGAGGTGATCTTAAATTTGACTCACTTCGATATAATGTTATTAGTAAAAAGCATCTGGAGAAGCGGACCATCGATGTTGACATCTTCCATTGTGATACCCCTGTAAAACCACGGAGAAGCTGGTAACCATGTCAACTTTCGTTTTAAACGGGACGGGAACAATTCAAAGTGTCAAAGCCAGCATTACCTTGGTCTTGTAAGGATGTTCAGTTTCCGTCTCAACATTTTATGTGGACATTGAGTTAAGAAAACTGACAGAATGCTACAGTTTTGGACATAAACAAACTTGAGTGTTTTCTATTTAGGGTTACAGAGTAGAAAGTCACTGGGTTAGCAGACATGCTACAAAGCTAGCAGGCGCTGAACGCAACAGACAAGGATATTCTCCTCAGTGAGTCTCTGAATGTCGTCTTGAAACTCCTCCAGCCTGTTTCGAAGTAGGTTCGTTTCCTCTTGGTTTTCTTCATCGTCGTCTGTAAAGCGAATGTGCCTCGGGGCCAGCGGTACGATGTCATCAAGCTGCTGAAAGAGCTCACTATCCCCGAAATCAACGTCAGCCATTTTTACACAGTTCATCAATCCAAAACGCGGGTTCAGGGGTCAAAAGAACTTCTCCTCGCGTTGATTGGATCCCAACTGTCACGAGGTGTCCAAACGCTTTCTTGGTTCTGCAGCCCGCAGTTTGTTTTGACAGGTTACACGGAGCATACATTATTTACCGGTACCTATAGCTCCACAACTTCTCTGTAAACATTTTAAACACTTTCTTAACAGACCATGCAATAGAGTGTCAATGTTTTGAAGTTGTTCTGTTATCCACCGAACAAACACTGCCTTGTCTTTGTCCTTCAAGACAATGTGCAGGAGAATAACAACACCGATTCTGAGACTAGGTTCCGTGAATCCAGTTTGGTTTGTTGAGGCTGTGTCGCTTGTTTAATAGCTGTACGGTGTCTCATTTGATACAACAGCTACTCAGTCTACCTTGTAAAAGTTCATCCTGACCACCGGGAGGCTCTGGTCAGTGTTTAGCCATGACAGACAGCTCCCCAGCCCTCTTAGCTCTACCGCAGTGGGAGGGGGAATCTCGAAAAATCCGTTTAATTTACTTGGTGAATTCTTCATCTTTCACACTAGCAAAATGCCCCGGCCAGGTTAGTCTCTTTTGCTGTTTTGACTAAGTGAGGATGGAAGATCTCTTTGTACAGGCACCATGAACGTAACACCTAATCCCCAGCAGTGGCCGCCATCTCAGATGGGATTATAATCTTTTAGTAGTCAATAAATTACGATAATAAGAATAAAGAATGGATGTTGAAGAAGGAATTTCTGTTGATTTCAAGACAGTGTCCTCAAGTTATACACAATAAAGATGATCATTTCCATGAATAATAAGAAGAATGACTAAGCTATTTTTTTGTGTCAATTTATATCAGGGTCCTGTGATTCCACTTTATTTGGGAGCTGATATTCTCTTCAACACTGACGTGCGCACAGAGAACCATCCCAGGTACCATGCCAAGTTTGCCAAGAGAGGACTGGCCACAAAGGTCACTTTTTCTGCAGGTAAAACCAAAAAGTGTGTGTTGCATTACATGGAAGAAATCGGGGACTGACCTCACAGAGTTGATGTTGTTGTTCCTCCTGGTTTGTTGTAGCTTTCAGGTTCCAGGGGCTGAAGGTTCCCGCTGCCAATAACAGCCTGTGGTTTTACAGCATCCAGGGACTGTTTCGAGTTGCCTTTGAAATGTACAGTAAGCAAGAGCAGCTCGCAGTGCTGGAGAACTTCCAGGTACATGCACACCAGAGAGAGAGATGGATAGAAAAGAAGAATAAATGTTTAACCTTATCATCTCCCTTCTTTAGGATGTTTGGAAATCCCAAATAAATGACAGCCCACTGAAAATGAATTACAGCCTCAGTGCGCAGATGGACCTCTCAGCATCTCCGAGGGCTTTTGACATAAAATCAAGAAGGGAAATGTCTCCACCTCCTCCTTGCCAGGCTGGCGGGGAATTGATGGATGGATGTAGCAGTGACACGGCCGATTCATCTGCAGACCGCCTCGCTTCACCCAGCACACGTTTGCACCCCGAGCCCACTCATCCGATAGTGTCCACCCTGAGAGAGAAGCTGCGCAGCTTGGACAGCCAGCTGGCCACACAACCCAGAAGCCGCACCGAGCGGCTGGAGACGGCCTTGCTGCTTTTGGAGAGCGTCCATCGGTACGTGAACGGGAATCTGGAAGAGAAGGACGTGGCCATAACGGTGTTAGCCCTGCTAAAGGCTGAGGACTGGACCAGAGACTCGGTGTACTCCTGTCATCTGCTCACTTGTGTCGGACGCTGGCTCGGCCAGCAGTTTCACGCAGCCAACAGCACCATCAGCCAGAAGGTGGAGGCCTTTAAAGTTCGCCACATTGAGCGAATCAGTGATCTGCCTCCAGCTGAGGAACTGACTACTGAACTTTTCCCCGAGGCCATGCAAACGCTCCTGCTCCACTGGATGGGCTTATGTGGGGAATCTACGCTGGAAAAGAGACACAGTGAATTCCCTATTTTGCTCCTCATCCTTGAGTTTGCCAACCATAACCTCATTACAGGTGTGGCACACGTGCTGTACTCCAGTCTTATTTGTAAGTGAGCCATCCGGATACCTCTGCCTAAACCCAAGTGTAATAATATATGTTTATATCTCTGTGCTTTCTTCCTTTGGATTTTTTTTTTTCATTGGATGACTAACTGATGTTCAGTGAGAATAGTTGAGTCTTTGGTGCCATTTCACCTACTCTCCAAAAGATTTTTAGTTTGATTTAATTAAATTGATGTTGGAGAAAACATTTGAACTATTGGATGATGTTAACTTTTAGTAATTTTATTAAGATAGTTGCATCATGTTTAGAATAGACTGGGACTCCCACAAAATGCCCCACAGTTATGTTACAGGCATCTGAACACCTGTTGCGTTTAACATGAAGATGCCAGAAATTGAGCGTTTCAAGGGTAAACATGGGAATGACTTCCAAACTCTGAAACGGTATGTGGCCTTTTATTTGACAGTTATCCCAATTTTGGGGATTTCATTCATGGTTTAAGCTTGTAAGCAAATCAATCAGTTCACAAACAAACATTCAGTATTCTTTTTCTACAAAGAGTACTTTTCCAAATAATTATAAAAGAATTTATGACAAACTTTTTCAACACAAAACAATTTAATTCAAGAACATTTGAATACTCCAGTCAAGCTTGCCTCTAATTGTGGCATTCCAGAAGACAATATTTATTATAAGCCGTGTTTGCCTTTTAAAACGAGATTCTGATAATGCTACATTGAGTCTGAATGCCTCTTCCTAAATGGATGCAAACAGTTTCCACTTGAACAATGTGATATTCATTATGGTCCGATCTTCACATACATTTGGATTTTTCTTTTTCTTTTTTTAAAAAAAGCTACCACATTATTGTAAATGAATATCTATTTAACCCAGCTTCAACCAGTCAAAATTCTTCGTTTCCATTCCCAAACATGTACAGTTTAATAAACACAGACGAGTTTGGCGTCCGGCTATTTACAGTATAATGTTACAATATGTGAGATCTTTGTCTATAAATAAATTACAGATTCAGAGCAACATCCGTGCAAGCTGGAGAGCTAGCGATGAACTGGTAGTCTTGTATGAAAGATGAGTGAAAGCCAGAGTTTGGCACTAGAGAGAATCCATTCCCCGAGAGAATGAGGAGGAAAAGCCAAGGCCCATTCCCCTCTGGGTGTGTGTCTGAGAGCGAGCCATTTCATACTGAACATCCAGGTTCCTAAACATCTCTTCCTGTTTTTGAAGTGTCTTCAGCCCGTCATCATTAAGTGGTTTGGAAGCTTCTGCCTCTTCATCTCCCTACATATATATAATTTAAAAAAAAGATAAAAAATTATGACTGTAACTTGGAGGTAAAGACATTTTACACACTGGAAAGTTAAATAACACACTTACCTTAATACCCATTAATTTGCGAAATTTTACATTTTGGTCCTTGTTTCCAAAGTTTAGCTTCTCCCACAATTCAGCTGTTTGGGACTTGTCCTTAAAAAGGTGAAAACAGACGCTGACTACCATCTTATTATGAATGCTAACAAATACTGCATAGCCTTGATCTTTCTATGATAACAGATCTCAAGACAGCTCAACAAAGGAAAGCTGAACGGCAAACCTAAATCTTACCCCTTCCTTCTTTCCCTGCCATAGCTTTTTCCTCTTCTTCTCCTGCTCTGCAAACTTCATTGGGTTTACGGCCGACGGGTTGTAATAGCTGGGGACAGCGATGCCCGTCTCTGCTAAGGTTTTGGCTTGAAGGGCTGCCATCTGTGCCGCCATGGCAATCTGAGGTGTGACCTGTGTCCCAGATGCTAGGAGGGCTGCCACGTTGAGTGCCGGGTTGGAGACAGCTGCTGCTGCAGCGGCAGCTGCGATTGGAGCAGCCACAGCTGAGAAGAAACAGAGCTGCGTAAGAAACAGCATCCAAACCGAGTGTAAGGGTTTGGAAGCGTACAACTCATCCATGTCTCACCTGCTGCTATCTCCTGCTGCTGCTGCTGCTGTTTTTCAAACATTTCCTTCTCCTTCTGCTCCTGTAGCTTCTTGGCTCTCTCTAGTCTACGAAGTGAGAGGAAATTATAAAACAAAAGTTAAGCTCATTACGCTCAGCTGTTTTTAAGGATATATGATGAACCACATTCTGTTTTTCTGACTATTTCTTTTAAATGATGAAACCAGAAATAATAGAGAAACACACTACCAGATTTGGTGAAAGCAAAACAAGCACAAACTCATGTTAACACTGTCCATGGGCTGTTAGATGCTGCCTTACCTTCTGGCCAGGGCTTCTTGTGCATCCATTGCTGTGTTTCGACCGCGGAATATAGGTGGACTAGCAGACCTGCTTCGACTCTTTTTGTTCACTTTCTCAGTCCTTTTCTTTCTCTCCCTGAACAAACAACCAAAGTAAATAAGTGAATATGATGTTGATGAAATGAAAGAATGAAGAAAAAAACAAACATACCAATGCCACAAGAAATACTCCAACTTTAACAAAGCTCACCTGCTTTTGCTACGACTTCTGCTATGATGACGGTGTTTGGTCCGAGAGCCCGAGCGAGACCTGGCCTTCTTCTTCCTGTCCCGACTGCGTGAACGTGATCGCCGTTTGTCCCTACTTCTACTGTGGTGCTTCCTAAATAGAGAAATAATCCATACATGTAAAAAAATAACTGACATGATGAAACATACTGAAAGAGTTTCTAAATGTAAATTATTTGGGAAAGGTATTTATAGTCTTTATCAACTCTAGGCTAAAGAACTCAGAATTGAGCAATTACAAAAACCGAGAAATAAAAATGATTTCAAGTTTTTAATGATAGCGTCTATGACGAGGACCCACTCAGCAGCTAAGTGAGAAACTGTAGCTTTACAGAGAAAGCTGACAGCAAACAAGTCAGAGGCCAGCACAACACATTCCTAAATACCCTTAATCTAACCAGACAAACCTTTCTCTTGAGTGTGACCTGGACGTGCTTCGCCCCCTCGAGGACTTCCTTTCTTTGCGCCGCGCCCGCTCCTCTCCGTTCTCTGCTGAAAGTCTCTCTTGCATTTGCTGCTCATCTGTTTTTCTGTGCGATTTTGATGGCTTCTCTGAGTCCCTCTTTCGTGCCTGTTTTAAGAAGAAGTTGTCTCTTTCAGGAAAATAGTGCAACAAAAAGAGTTAGTACCATGGCTTATGGCAGAAGGTATGTCATAAACATGACAAGCTGAAAAAACCTTGTCATTTCAAACCCAGCTCTATAATAACTACAGAATTTCAGTATCAGAGGATGATTGCAAATGCAGGCTTTTCTGAGTGTGTTCCCTTTTGGCTGCATCCATTTCAATCTAGAAATTAATTAGAGGCCACATGTCTGGAACATCTCACCAGATTTTATAGAATGCATGCAAAACTAATTTTCTGTTCCTGAAACTAATATGGGGCGTATCAATCATGTAATAATTTGGTGCAGCCTCAAAACGTCCGAATTTGTACCCTCTGAGAGGTTGGATTAGGGATGGGCATCCAACTATGCCCATCCCTAGCTGCAAGAGAGGGGAAAAATAAAACCATTTTCTCAACAAATAATGTGAGACAAATAGGAGTTTGAATGGCAGATAGTTACCTGTCCCAGTAGTAGGCATATTATTTTGCTATGTCAGCAGGGTCCTCTGTTCAGTCTCTTCGTGCATTAGCACGCTGAGTATGATTTATTGTAGAAATGTTATCATGTGATCTACACACAGGATTTAACAAAAAAAAAAAAAGAAAAAAAAAAGAAAAAGCTACTCTTCACCATTTGATATAAATAAAAGACAAGACATCCAAGAACACAAGCTTCCTTTGAAACATGTGAACATAAGGATGGTAAAAAAAGTTTTTGTTTTTTTAATAAAAAGTATTACCCTCTCAGAGTCAATGGCCATATTTTCGTAATAACTTCAGCTTTTCTACGTATGTTCACACTAAACAGCATGTACTCACCTCACCCTAAAACTAGCAACTACTGCCTTAAAAAAAAAAATCTAATCCATTTCTAAGAGAAATGAATGTATCAATTACCTCTTTACTCCTGCTGCGACTTCGTTTGTTCTTCCTGTCACCTGTAATAAACATATCAGAAGATGTTAAACACCCATTTGAATAATTTTACAGCCAGACCACAAAAATGACAAATCTATACAGGAGTAGAAAATTGTAGAACATTAACAATCAGTACAAAGTACAAATATTAAAAGAGCAAGACAAAACATTTAGAAACTGATGACCTTTTATCACACAGGGAAATAACAGAACTATGTCACAGAAAGAGCTACTTCATAATTATAATATCAATTTAGATTAGTTACTATGTGAATGTGAGCAACAGTTTTCTTCTCACATGTTCATGTTCATGTTCATGCATTTTGGCAGACGCTTTTATCCAAAGCGACTTACAGGGTAGGGAGGAGCTGTTTTGGTCGGGAATCGAACCCAGGTCAACTGCTTGGAAGGCAGCTATGCTAACCACTACACCACCACTCCTCATGTTCAAATGATAAGAAACCCTTAATGACAATACTTTATTTTCAACAGGCCAATTTGTTTCATGCATGACTACATACGTTTGCGATCCCTGGAGCGTGACCTCGATCGTGAATGGTGATGTTTGGAGCTTCGAGGAGATCTTGAAGATTCCATACTGTGCTTTTTTCTGTGATGACCAGGGGAGCCTGATCTGTTCAAGTCGACAGAGTCGTTGTCACTTGCCTAAAACAAATGCACATGTGGAAATAAGTAAAAAGTAAAAACAAAGTGATGAAATACTCTCAGGCAGGGGTGCTGGATTCTTATCAGCCCGTGATATATCAGTCTTCGCTCTTCCCTTAAAAATCAGCGCGTAAGAAATGTTACAGTGATAAACCTTTCAATTTATCGAAACTAAACCCTTTAAACAAAATCAACCCAAGCTACATAAGTGTCTGTGATATTTCCCCATTTTAATCTATGTTCTCTTACGTGCTTATTTAAGACTAATAATATCTGCACAAAAACTGCACCCTTTCTCTCAATGTTAAATCTCATTTAAGAAGTCGTCCAACAAATCTAAAATGCCCAAAAGGAGCACTATAAAGACAACTGCGCTCTCCACATTAGTCTTGTGTGAAGCACCTTAATTATATCTGTATTTTTCAAAAAGCTGACACACCACTAAAATATCCATAAGGTAAACAATGCTACATACTCTAATATTTTGCAATCCCCAGTTTGTTCTCAGACAATTAAGTATTTCATTAGATCGAAACACATTTTTTAAAATGCGTGCTGTTACTAGTGCTACTTTGCCAGGACCCTTATGAGCGTGAGTGGCGTTATCGTTTGGCAACATTGTGTACCATATGTTTACTCACTACCATACAATTCCATTCATATTAGGTTTATCCCAAATACATGAAGAAGTAATACATCCATTACAACAATTTTAACATTAGCCAGCACGCTAGGCTAACTGGCGCTGGCCGCCATCTTTAAGAAAATATTACTTGAACAACACAGCAAATTTTCTGATTATTCGGTAGATGTTGTTGTATTTTTACGTCTTGTTGTTATGTTAAGTGTTGCTTACCGACATAATCCTTGAGCACGGTTGATATTAGCAACAAATACTTTTGTTGTCTATTACGCCGAACCCAGAGTGACTGTTGCCAATAGCCAGGCCTTCTTTTTCTTCTTCTTCGCCTATGCTCATACGAGTTGCCAGGTTGGGTCTACTGACGCCATCAATTCAAGCAAACACAGATTTTAACCCAATAATCCGTTCTTGCCAAGAGGCAAAGAGAATAGGGAACGAGCAAACATTTTTTAAACATAAAATAAACTATCTTATGATAATAATCACCGTTCGGGGATAGTCAGAAACATCAACATTACACATATTACAATGCCGATTTATAAATTATGCTGTCATTCAGTATTGTTTAAACAAATTGGTATGAAAAGTAGATATTTGAAAAGTGTTGTGTTTTAGGAAGGGAAACTAATAGATCATTAAGCTAAACAGCACTGAAAGTGTACAATTTGGCATTTGCGATTACACCTGGCAACCTATTGAGAACTTCCGGGTATTATGTGGGTAATAACCATCCCTTTGTAGGTCTTTTAAGGTAAATGTATTATTGAGTTGTGTGCATTCTATTCAAGATACACCAACCCCTATAGTTGGCTATAGTCATCGACATATAATATTGAACTATAGGCTGCTGGTTTATATCTTTACAGACCAAAACATAAATATATTCAGGGATAGTTCGTAGCTCGAAACAGAAGCTGGCCCTTGAAGGCAAAGCGCAGGGAATACTTAACTTCACGTCCTGACATCCTCCCAGCAACCCGCCAAATTCTAATGCTAGTACTGCCGATATGTTGACTGAGTGTGTCTTGTTTTGGCCGTAAATCGGTAAGCTATTATTTCGGCTACTATTCACATTATTGCTACATTCAACTCTAAAACATACATATTAAGAGAACACTTTGTCTTGCCTTTTGTTGCTTTTTGTGTGTTTTTTTTACGCATAAATCTAGCTTGAACCTCCGGGTACCGCAACAGGATCGCTTGATAGCAGACAGAGCGATTGCATAAAACACCACTAAAAAGACGATTAAATAAAAGCAATGTAAATATTATAACACCTCTCTTATATCAACCAGCTTGACAAAATGGCATTGTGGAGCGACGTTGAACTTCTGACCAACGAGGACACAAACACAGTCCGTTTCGACAGTGTGTCGAGAGAGGAGAATGGGAGCGGTTTGTACCAGGTGGATACGCTGGTCAAAATCTCCTCCAGCAATCAGGTAATTGTCAGTATTTACATGAAACACGGTGCGAAATGCTCTGTTTAATCCCAGCTGCTCCAGTCATCTCAAATTCATTAGTGTCCAGGGGCGAACCAACATTTCTGGTGCATCTGAACTGACATCGTTTAGCCCCCTTCATCTCTAAAATTTTCTCAAAAATGATCGGGGATTTCTTGAAGTTCAGCCCACCGAATGACAGTCCTGACATACTGGCTTTTGCAGGGGCATGCAGATCCACGGCTCTTGTCCTCCAGTGGTTCAAACTGGAGTATAGTTGCTGCTGACAAGACAGTGATCCTGTTTGATCAGAGTTATCAAACCATCCTCCTTCTTCTCCACTTTGGTAAAACCACTTCTTTTTTTTTGTTCTTTTTTTTACTATAGAACAAATCATTTATTTTTGTGCAATATGTAATTGGGCTTTACAGAATCAGTCCCGCATTCTTGTAAAGACTTGTTCAAAGATATAATTTTGTGATGTGTTCAACAGAGCTTTGTGACCTGCAAGGGTATTGTATATAAAATGTTGCTTTCTTCCAGAAACTGATGTGGATGCCATTGATGTATGCCTGCAAGGCCAGTTTATGGTGGTGTGTGAAAGAAACGGAAACCTTCATTTGATCTACGTGCCGCACAAGAGAATCCTCCTGACCAGGGTATGGATGTTTTTTCTCTGTCATCAGTTAAAGCCAATCAGGAGTTGGTTTGCATTAAGAGGGATCAGTCAGATCTAACATGTCTTAGACTTACTCTTTCTGAATACAACTAATGTTATTACTAAATCAGGCATTAAAGACACATCTGTAATTATCCTGCTATTTTGTTTTATTTTCCAAGGTTAAGATTGCCTTGTTTAATGTGATTACTGTGTTGTGTTTTGGATTTGCAGGCTTTGGTTGAGAAACCATCCAATGAAGACAAAAAAACATATCGCCATCTTTTCATTGATGAGGACAAGTCATCCTCAGGTGGAAGTTTTTAATGCAGAAAGAAGATATTCTAAAAACAAGCCCATGCAGTGTTTTTTGTTTCTCTTGCATTTTTTACACAATTATTTTTATAAATGTTACTTTTTTACCTGAGTCTAAAGTCTAAATGGAGGGTGTCTTTTCACAGGGATGCACCATGTGTTCCTTCTCATAAAAGATGGCTTTTTCCACATTACAAACCTGGCTTTAGGAAAGATCAAGACAGGTACATTTTTATAATCTAAAAACAGCAACTTTTTATGCATTTATTTATTGACTGATTAGAGAACTTATCTTTTCTTTTGCTAAACCAGCAATCGAAACGATGGATATTGGAGTTTTGAAAGAGGTAAGTTAAGTAAAAAATGACTTGATATACAAACAACAAATAAGTAATCCGAAGTTTCTTTAAATCAGCTCCAGAGTCTCATCAAAATAGACTTTTGCTCTACTAACGATTACCACGAGGAGGGTTGCAGCACAGCAGTGATGTTCAAGCTGGGCAGTGAAGTCCACCTTATGATTGGGGTCAGTGTCCTTAAGAAACTATTAATTAATTAATTGACCTATATTGCAGCGATTACATAAAAAAATGTGAAGAGGTGACACGTATAGAAATGTAGATGCAGAAGATTATTATAATTTTTTATTTAACTTTCCATTTTTTCATAGCGATTTTTCATACAAAAACTTAAAAATGTAAATAAAACTTCAATAATCATGCATTGTAATTAGGCTTAATTTTGGCATCTTGAAATTAAATATTTATGTGAATAGCTTCAACACTATGATTCAAATGGCAATAAAAACATATGTGTGATAACATAATATGTAACAGCATTATTGTTTGACAGGGGGGCCAAGAAAATGCTGTGACTCACTGGAAAATGGATCCTCTCAAGGAAAAAATGTGCTTTTCTCAGTCAGTCAACAACAGCTTGATTCATGGTAAAATGTCTTTCTTTTTTATCGCTCAACCAATGGATATGTTTCAGCTATGATGTAACACATGATAAAACTTCACATTTTTACATTATAGATATTTTCCTTTATTCCTTTACTTGGCAGGTGTGAGGAAGATGGTGGTGGTGGACAATCTTTTGTATATTCTCGACACTGAGGTGAGTTCAGTTTTGTCACCATTAGCGCTTTGGTGAACTACAACTAGACTTGTGCTCCAAACTCTGTTGCCCTTTTTTCAGGACGTTCTGAGTCTCTGGGACCTGCACTTCCTTGTCCTGATTCACTGCTGGCCAGATCTTGCCATTCATGACTTTGAACTTACCACAGAGTGCGGCTCTGCCTCCATGGTGGCGTAAGTAACACTTGTTGCTGCTTCGCGTTGCCATGAATATACAGAGAGACCGTCCCTGAATTATAAATAATTGATGTGTGTTGCAGGCAAGACAAGGGCAGCATGAAGATGATAACACTGGCAAAGCAAGACAACAGTCAGGTAGCAGCACAATTTGTTCAATGTAACCTAAACAAATGAGTTCTTCAAAAGTACTTTTCTGAGATCGATGCCTTTGTTTTTACGCCTCAGATCAGCTCACTGCAAATAAGATGTCTGCCCTCAATGACTGTTTGCTACTCTCTGGATGTGTCCTCTGTGTCCTGTCTTGTCCAGATGAAAATAAACATGGTAACCAATGCACAAATTAAACCATTTCAGGGCATTTGCTTTGTGGTTTCTAGATGCTAACCTTTTATGCACATCTAAGTTATTTATGCTCTCCTTTAGGATTCAATTTATTTGGTTGAGGGGATTTGTGAGAAGCCAGAAAGGTGAGACAAGGTTTCTACCAATTCCACTCTGTACATGTGTGTTCAGATACTACATCTTATTTTTTAACCCTCTCTTCAAATAGTCGAGGAGAGCCTGTCGCTTCTGTTGTTGTGAGGTGTTTCACAGAGGCTTTGCCTGAGAACAGGTATCCTATTTTTAGTTGATATGTTTCTCCATAAACATTCATATTGGCTGTGTTGGTATAAAGGTAATGTTTTTATAATTTTGATTTGTTGATTTCTGTCTCTTTTTCCCTTTATTTTGAAAAGACTTAGCAGACTTCTTCACAAACACATGTTTGAAGACGCCGAAAAGTTTGCCATCACATTTGAGCTAGATATCGAGGTAAGTTAGTTTGGTTGTTTTGAAAGAAAAGGGAAATGTGGGAATCGTCTGTGCTTTGCATCTGTTTCCGCTCCACAGTGCTGCAGATGGCAGGAACTCGTTCCAGCTGGGTTGGTGCACAATGGATTTCGAATAACTAACCATCTCAATTTTGTTCAGCTTGTTTACAAGGTAAAGCTGGACTTTGTGCTGGAGCAGCTGGCCTCAGCATCAGTGGGCGGCTACGGACAGGAAGTGTGGTCGGAATTGGTCGAAGAGGCTAAGACCAACCTGATGAAGATCACAGTAAGAGTAACACTGCTGATTGTGTCCAAACCTGATTCACTTTTTTCTAAATCAACTCATTTAAATTTCAGTTGTGTGTGTGAGCTTTCTATCAATGAACTACATCTTTTGTAGGATGAGCACTATGTGGTGGAATATTGCCTCAAGGCTCCGTGGCCAACCTTTGAGACGGCGGAGAAGATGCTTAACCACGCCGCCTCGCGATACTCTTCCCTACAGATCCAGGAGGCCTTGGCCAGGCTGGCAACATTCTGCAGCCTTCATGGCTTGGAAAATTTCAAGTAACGTCAACATCCTATTGGCCAGTTTTGTATTGTGTTCTTGTACAGTACATTTCCACTTTAATGGTTTGTTTGTTTTTTCTTATGCATTACGTTGTCACCCATAGTGGAATTGCCTGGATTGAGTTTCTGAACAGCACTGACAACCTCGGAGACATAATAACCCATATAAGGGAGGGAGATTTGAAAGGTGCCCAACTCCTTTGGCTAAGACATGAGGTAACAAATTATTATGAAATCAGTCATTTCCTGTAGTCATCATCATAGCGAAAGTGTCTCCTGGTTTCTAATAACTGCGACCCAACAACACTGATGAATTTCTGTTGTAAGTGAGTCATGGTGAGAACTAATGGTTTATTCCTGCTTTTATTTGTTTTTTAACAGGGACAGATTGCTGCAGAGTTTGATGAAAGCAGTCTTGAAGCCATGCTTAGTGCCATCCCAGAGGATGTCCCATCTCAAGACCTCTGTTCTTGGTTTAGGTCCGTTTTTGTTCCTTTTGTGAGAAAAGGGCTCCCGGGAGGACAGGTGTGTGTCATTCCTGCTTTAATTTAGGTCACCTTCACTTAATTTAGTGCTGCCTTTTGAAAATATTTTCTTCTTCTAAACATAGAGAATCCTGGCAAAATGGCTTGAACAGAAGGCGAGGAATTTGGAGCTCACTGAGAAGGTAAACTACAGGCCAACTAAAACTAGGCTTTTGTAAACCATTTACAACAGCAAAGCTTCCATAGCTGCTGCGATGAGCAAAAAACCATCAGTCATTGCACAAGGAATCAACGAGTACATGAATCTAAAGTGGAAAGAGTTGTGTACATTAATTATCAAACCAGTGGAAAATTTCCTGACAGGAAGCAACATAACATATGCCACCACTTTATTGCAACACAATGCAGATGACTCATAGCTGATTCATCACTTGCTCGCATCTCTAATTAGGAGCTTCAGATTTGATTGTATGGCTACTGCACCCCCCACTGATGTAAAAAAAAATGTTTTAATATAATGTAATGTTTTCCTCAGGGCTCTTGGCCTCAGAACGGGCTTGACATGGCAGTGCTTGGACTGCCATGTTTATGGACCTGGATGAAATCTGTTGTAAGATGTTATTTTGTTTTTGTTTTTTCTTTGTGCTTCCCTCACAAAAAACAACTAGTTTTGGGGGGAAATTGCCAGTTAAGTCACATTGTGGTTTGTGGATCACAAATAAGTACCATTTTCTTGTAGGATGATGATAACATAGCAGAGGAGGTTGAGAACCTCAAGTCCCTCGTGTCCAACCTCCGCCAGCTGTTGGACCTTCACCGAAAATACAACTGCAGAATGTCACTTTCAGTGTTTGAGAAGGTTTGTGATCCAGCTGCACCTTTAGAGTGCCCTTAAAACAAAAAGTGTTTTAGGTTGTGATTCACAAGCAAATGGCTTATATGCTACATTTGTGAGATGTTGCTGAGCACCAGGATTTAGAAAAAACTTTTAATTCTACCAGGGAGACTTTAAAAAACACTCATGTTTCATGATTTGCACTGAGTGATATTATATTATAAAGGTTTCATTTACATATGAACAAACGGAGGCATGTTTCAGAATGATCCTTTTGTTGTTTTTTTTCTTTTGTGTCTTTTGTCCATTTAATAGGGAAGTGTTTGGAGTGTAGCATTTGTCATGCTGGACAAAGTTCCAGCTCCAGAACTGATTGCTGCCACAGTGGAAAACAGCATCCTCCCATACACTGAGGAGCACAACATCCCTTTAGATGAGTTACTGCTTCAATACATCAAGGTAAATCCCCTTCACAACCAGGAATGCTGAGACTCTCCCTCAGTTTTCCATTTACCTGCCAATACAAGTGTCTCTATTTAATCTGACCTGGTCCAGGATTTATTGGAGCGCTGCAGTTCTCAGACCACAACGCTTTTCACAGAGTGGGAAGCCAAATCCGTGGCTGTGCTTGGCTGCATGACTGACACAGATGTAAGTTCATTTGACACCATTATTTTTAGTCCACAACAGCTGTTGGCACATATATTCAAGTTAATATTCAGCCTTAGCAGCAGAAAGTCTGCTGGAGATTTAAAATGTCACCTTTATTTCTGTCAGCTGATGGTGGATGCTGTGCTGGAGATCATGCAGAAGGCTGTTGTGCCCTGGAGTACCATGGTGGAAAAACTGGTTCAGGAGTACTTGGAGATGGAGGGGCCAAAGTATTATTATATTATTGTTATTTACTGATTAGCTGATTGTTATTTATTGATTAGCTTTGACTTAAATCTACTCAGTGATTCTGATTGTCTTCTTTTATCTTTTTAAGACAAGAGCTTTTGAAAGAGAGCTACCGTCTGATGGAGATCCGGAAACTGCTCAGGGGCTATGGAATTCGCAATTTCAACCTATCCAACAGCACTCAAGTCATGGTAGTCTTGACTTGATATATAATATGAAGCATGATTTCTATTGTACCTGCATCTCGTATATCTTTCATTCGCTAATGTGTTCCCTAGACGCTGATACGATACATCTTAAAACAAGACTTGCCTATGTCTCTCGAGGACTCTCTGACATTAGCTGAGGCATACAAACTGCCAAAGTCTCATATAAATTACCTTTATCTCATCCAGTTGATAAGCCAATCCAAGGTAAGTTAAATACTCACAAGTCATTATTTTTAATATTGTAATTGGAACATTTTTGTTCTGGCATGTTTGTAGGAAGTTTCACATTCTGCTTTCAGACTGAAGAGACTTTAGCAGTCCTAAAGCGACTGTCGTCTGTAGAAGCAGAGTGTGTGATTGAACGTCTCACATCATGGGCTCGACTGCAGCTGGAGGACAAAGTCCACATATCCGATGAGGTGAGGTTATAAAATATGTTTCAAGCTGTAAATTGAACACTGACGTCATATGTGTGGTTTCTTGTAAAGCGCCAAACACAGATCCACATTAGTTTCCTTCAGTGACTTCTATGGAATAGAGCTGATATTAGGTTTTTCCCCATATGGCGTGTAAAATGAATTTGTTGGTGCTTCTCAAACTAAAGTGTCAAATTTAAAACGTCATGTTGCCACTTAAACAGGATTTCCTGTCAATTACCCATACCCGCTTCCTTTGTGACCTGATTACACAGTTTGTTTTGGCTGTAAAGCTGCCTAAATATGACAAAAAAGGATAAGATAGAGATAGTGAGGAAGATAACTGAACGGATGCTAACGCCTCCTTTGTCTAAAAGCTGATAAGCATCTTAGCACTTTTGCTGTGTGCGTCCAGAAACATTTATTTTTATGCTATGCAAAAGATTAGCTAAAATTGTGTCACCTGTTGTAAATATCATCATCATTTTCCATCAGATAGCCTGTGCATTAAACACATGGTTCCGAGGCTGAGATTCAAGACTTCTACATGCAAATGACAGTTTAATAGCAAGTGAGATCCTCAGGATACGGTGTGCCAACAGTAGAAATGTCCCATAAGTTACCCAAAATTTAATATGATGGATGTTGACTTTCTATTGGGTTAGAGTTCTATTGGGCTCTGGTCCTGATCCTGAGGAAACAGTAGGGGATCCATTTTATAAGTAATAAATAAATCTGTTGTTTTTTTTTATTTAAGAATTTTCTTGGCTTGTCCTTAATAGCACAAGAAACAGCAGATGGTCGTAGCTCAAGTGATGGTGGAGGTGCTTGAATACCTGAACATAATCCAAAAACGTAAGTATTTTCTCCATACTGATTCTGTTACTTTTCCTGGGTTAAATCCTTTAATCATTACGTTTTTAAGTTTCATCAAGCTGCTCCATGAATGATGATTAAACCTGTACACGCATGCTCATAATACAGAAAATAGCTTGTACTGAAGCAACTTGATTGGATTTTGTTTCTCTTTGCAGATGATGCTCTGAAATGCATGGAATGTGAGAGCAACCTCATCATGTTTAAGGCTATTTCCCACTTACAGGTGGACCTCATTTTAAATTTCTTACAAATGCCTCCACATTCCTTCATTGACGTGTTGTTTTTTTAAGCTGAAGCTTTTTATATTCTGCAGGAGGACTTTGATGTTTTCTTTACCCCGTCCAACTATGAGGATCCCTGCATCCGAAAACAGATCCAGGAGCATCACATCACAGCCTATGAAAACACTCGAGCTCGTCATTCATCTAAGAGCAAAGCTTTGACAACTCCGGTTGTGGCTAATGATCCAGATGGCAAGACCAAGACCATCTCCACAGAGGCTGGCTTACAGCGGCTCGGAAGGCAGCTGCGGCGCACCGAACAGGAACTCTGGTCCGATTTGGGCCTTCGAGCTCTGAGAGTAGGGAAAGTTGACAAGGCCCTCAAGATTTTCAGGTTTGGATAGGTTGATGTTCTATTTGCATCCAAAGAAAAAAGACAGATGAACCTTACTGTTATGACTGGAAAATTTGAATTATTTACAGAGCTGTTTGGTTTGGTTTAATTTGTTTCTCCTTCAGTGAACTGTATGAGCACCACTACAACAGCAGCACTGGGAAGGTTTTGTTCACAGCTGCCAAGTCATTGTGCGAGATGCTGGAGGCAGATATTCCCATGGTGCTTCCAAATGGCATGGACCTTCCAGCAGTCATCCATGATTTGGCCTGTCAGGCCATAACTGTGTGTTGCGCGGGTAAGAGCCACTTTTAAACATCACTAATGTTCACAGCATTTTTCTTTTTCTTTTTTTTTTTGTTGATAAAGATAGGTGTTAGAGGAATTAGATCTGCTGTTCATCCACTGAAGGAACTTACTTCTTTTGCTGTAATTCTGTTGTAATAGTCAGATGTGTACAAGCATGAAAACAAGACTTTATTTATTTTGAATGATAAAAAATAACTACTTTATAATACAGAATAAATGGTTTGAGAATATATATCTGCTTATGTTTTTATTTTTCAGTTTAAAAAAAAATGCCGATTGCTTGTGAGCATTAGAAAGGAAAACCACCTTACTCGCATTTAGGCTGTTGACTCTGAATGGTAGACTATTAAGCTCCAGTCTTTTTGTTCTTCTCCTCCTAAATATTCTAATGTTTCAAAACCCACTAAAACATAGTGATTGTTGCAGATCTGCTTCTTGACTGCCTGGAACTTTGCAAGTGCACGCGGATAGCTATGGATGTGTATCATCAGTGTCAGTTATCTGATGATTATGGCTTCATTGCCAAGGTCAGTATATCATACCTTCCTTAAAATGAAACTGAACTGAACATAATTTTTTTTGACCAATTTCAAACATTTTCTTGTAAATTAGTTTTTATGTTTGCATATTTGGATTTAAGCCAAAAAAAAGGGATTAATGTCTTTTCAAACAGTGTAACAAAGTGATTTACTATCTTACATTTGCACGATGCAATGTTGTAGGATTTGACTTTGGAGGTGGAACAAGATCCCTATTCTCAGTGGAGTTTTCAAGACATTTTTAATGAGGATTGCATTGTTCTGGATCCCGTATCTGTGCTGCCAGTGCAATATGAAATCACCAACTGCATGCTGCCTATTTCACAGGGTAAGATACTCATGATGGCATGCTGTAAATGCTGGACCGGTTGGAGTAAATTAGTTGATTTACAAAGACAGCTTTTGACTGGGTAGTGTCAAAAGCAAAATGCATCTTGTGATTTTTGTTTTAAGTGAAGATATCAGTTTAGTCACTTCTTTCTGAGATGTTTATTTCATTAATCGTATTGCCATCATGCAGGCTATCAACGAAGGAGGTTAAGTGAATTATACACCATATAAAGCAGACTTTATTGCCCTTTTTACAGAAACCAAACTGTATCCTCTGGACTGCTCCTGTCTGCCACACTGTTCATTTGAAGATGGTTGGTATTAAGATAAATATATATATTTTTGCTATATTGTTTATTCTTTAAGGTTACCTTTTGTCTCACACTGTTCTTCCCTAGGCTCAAACTACCTGCAGGTCCTCCTCGGTCCCCTCACCAATATGTTGCAAATGCTACAGGAGTGCAGTCAGTTGGAGCTGGCCCTCAGAGTGCTGGTCAACTCGTACGGCAGCTGCTTGCAGCATGTCACCTCTAACATTATGGACACAAAGCTAAGTATGCAGGTAGGACAGATGCATCTGCTATTTTTCTGTAGATTTAGTTTTCATTACTTTGCTAAAGTAATGATAATACTTTGTTGAGGGAACAACTCAATAAACTATTACTGTTTCACAGCTTTATAATCCCCAAGATCTTAAAAAGTACAACCAGTGCCTGAACCATCTGCGAAAGACAACGACGTCCATTCTGAATGCTGTGGCTGTGGCCCTGTTGAACAAAGTAAGTTTTCCAATGCCAGCTTCACTGAAAGCTAGCAGGGGCCTTCCAAAGTTTTGGTTAATTTTAAGTGTCAATTGCTATCTTACTCTGTGTAGGTGTTCAACTGGAGGATGGTGGATTGTGATTTGGCCATCGGTCTTTGCACGCTCCTCTCCAAAACGGAAGTCTTTAAAATCCTATGGAAGGTTATTGACAACACTTGGCAAAACTATGACAAAATTTTGGTAGGCGGCATGAATTAATTCTTTACCTTAATGTCTTTTTAATGGTGGGAATTACAGAAGAACAGAAAGTACCAAAGTGGAAACAGTTGTTACTTATTCTAAGGTGTGAAGTTTCGTTGAGTTACAGGGACAATGCTGAGGAACCCATTAAAACCAGGCTTTGTCATCTCAGCTGCTTTATTTTCTTCTTTCCATCATAAGCACAAGCTACATGGAAACAGTCAGATTTCTTTTCAGGGTATTTTAAGGAATCATTCACTGTGCTGATTTGGTATTTCAGGCTGTGGCAAAGATCGGGGCTAATCTCTGCTCATTATACGATGAATGGGAGGAACAGAAGAAGTTTTTCTCTGTCATAACCGATGCTGAGTGGGGCATCAAGCTTGGCAAATTGGAGGTAATAAGGTTTCTAGACTCTAGAAATGTCTAAAGACACACTGCCACACTGTATATTAGATCCATTTGGAATATCCTGTTTTTGCTGTTGATATTTTAGGTCTCCCTTCCCTTCTTTAACTGTGACATTCGATGTTTAACTGTAACATACTTATCCCCCCCATGTCTCAGATATCGATCCAGCCTGTCTTTCGGCAGCGATCTGAGATGAAAAGTAGTCTGATCCCTGTTTTGGTGAAAAACAGGAAGATCACTCCAGACATTATCCTCCAGTACTGCAGGTCAGACACTCCCATTATCACTTTCATCTCCTTTTGGAGGAGTGTGTGTTTAGACTGTGCTAAAAGCGACCCGTTTACCATGCTATAGTACCTATGGTCTGGACCGTGACCGTGTCATCAACCAGTACATCACAACCTTGCTGCTGCTCCAAGAGGATGAAGACAGCACAGGTATCCCTGACTCAGGCCAGGAGGAGGTGCAGCCTCTGTGTCATGTGACTGCATTGGAACGGGTCCTGCAGATTATCCCAATGTTGCACAGCACCAGCGAGCTCACAGACAGTCTCTGTGCTGCCATATTTAAGGTATAAATGACTAATTATTGCAGAATGACTCATTAAGAGAGCATAGTTGTCAGTTTGATGGCGTTTTTTGTTGTTGTTTTTTTTGTTTTTTTTCCATGTAAAATGTAACCATGTGTGAGTAAAAGGGTTTTCAAAAAAACAGTCAGATACAAATCAATAACCAAATTTGGCATCTGGTGAAAAATGTATTTGCAACTGTATTGATGCCAGTAGTGCTTTCTGATTCTCCTACAGTTCTCCTACTCGCAATGTCAGACTATTTACACCAGGTGTGAGTTGCAGTCTGTATGTGCGTTTGTGGCTGTGTGTGTTTTTTGTAAGAAGAAGGAAATGAAAGAACTAAATTGAGTTGAGCTCATTATCCAAACCACACAAGTTGTTAATGATTGCAGCGGATGTTTTCTGATGCATCTCTTCCCTGTGAGCAGCCCAGCGCTATGCACCACTTTGCTTGGTCCTTTAAATTCTAAAAAACGTTGCCGGAGAAATAGTTTGCTGTATCAACCACAAGCCTTAAATAGAAGTGCATAAAAAAATGCAATTGAAATCCAGAAAAAATAAAGAGGATACAGGAAAATAATACAGGAAATGTTTGTCCAATACTAGATAAATAATCTGTTTGAATTGGAAGTATGGTCAAGATTAAAAAGGCACAAATGTAATGCATTAAAGTTTATTAAAGCAAAGACATAGTCCTTCTATTTTAACAACAGAAAAAATAATTTTCCTAGAAGTTTGAAACGGTATTATTGTCATGACGACCATATATGTGCTCAGTGTAACCTGTGTTGAAACTGGTACTCCAGAAATACTCCTTGGAGACTTTTTGCAATACTACCCTAAATAACACCCTCAATACCACATTCACACATGAAAATAGGTGTGAATTTGCGCACAAAAACTTGCATGTTCTTTACAACTCTTTAGGTCTTCTGCTCATATTCACTCCTTATAGTGAGAGGGGGATCTTTTCCATATAAATAGATTCCTAATTCTGCTTGAGTAAATCACACTAGATTTTAAAGAAAGACAAATTATTAAATGAAAACCAAAAGATTTCATAGTCTTGGGATCCTCATTGTAAGGTGCTTCAGCACATTCACTTGTTTTCTGTTCGCTGTTGTTGTGTTTTTGCCCCAGTTGACAAAAGTTGTACTTCTCATTTAACCTTTGAAATGTGCTTCTCATACAGCTCAGCCCATACAACTATGAGAGAATCGAAGTTGTTCTAAAGATCATTCAGGCTGCAGATGAGAATGTATCCACCTTATCTGTTAGTCAGGTAAAAATGCACATCTAAAATCTAAACTCAGTAGTCTTCCTCCATAGAAATGAATCGTGCAGACTCTAACTTCATGTTTAAATCATCAGGCGATGGGGCTCTTGCAGCATCTGAAGTCCTACAAGCGAGTCTCTCCCGCCTCCGACGTGGAGAACATCTATCTTCTTGAAAATGGTCTGCTGCCAAACTCCCTGTCCAACAGTAGACTCCCCTTCCACCTCTTGTTGCAGACTAAGCATTACTGGAAGATTATCTGTAAGTTAACAACTTCAGTCCTGCCAGCAGGGGAAATCTCAAAGTGATTATTTTACATGTTGTTGTTTTTTCATAGAATGTGTTTTAATATAAAGGTTTATCTAGCTATATTTATGAGGATTTTTGTATATATATATGTATATATGTATAGACATGTATATATGTATATGCCTTTGTTTTGCTTATGGAGCCTGTAACAAAAATAATTTCCCTCTGGGATTATTAAAGTATTTCTGATTCTGATTCTGATAAAAAATCTTACAGCACCTGAACTGAGTGAGGACACCTTCCCCACACTACTTCTGATTAGCAAACTGATGAAGGTAAGACTTCCTTACTCTGGATTGCTGTTTTATTTTTAACTTTGAACTGAATCAAGCTCTCTTGTTCGTTTTTTTTTTTTTTTCTTTTTAGGTGAGCCTTGACAAGTTGTACATGTCGGCTGTAAACCATGTGTTCGAGAAAAAGATGAAGCCTTTACTCTTGGAGAAAAGAAAGAGGGGTCAGACTCATTGTTACAATAAAGAGACTTTCAAAGTGGCCAAGACGATGATGAAGTATATCCAGTGCATCCAGAGCCTGGAGTGGGCAGCTGCCACCGCCAACAAAATAACCCAGGAGCTTCCAGCAGGTTTGAGCTGCATAAGGAGGCCCAAAGCACCCCGTCTGGTATACCTTCAAAACCTCTAATCATTCAAATCTTTCCTATTTTCCAAAGGCTACGAGAAAACACAGTCACTAAGGTTCTGTTTGGCTCTTGGAGAAGCATGGCTTAAAGATCCAAACCTAGAGGTCTGTGCTTCTGCTTTCACCTGCAGATCATTGCATTTTTTTAAATTTTTCAAAATGTTTTTCATGCACTGCTTTGCTCTCTACTTCTTTTTCCTTCTCACTCTGCCGCAAAGCAGGAGGATGCACGGGCCCGAGGGGAGACTTTTATGTCCAAGCTGAAGCTGCAGTTTCAGCGCACCGCCACGGAGAATATGCTGATGACCAGCCAGCTGAGCAGCCCAGAGCTCCTGAAACTGACGGGGCTGCCAGCCAGGCTCATCGTGGCTCTGTATGAGCACAGCAGTGTGGAGCAGCGTTACCGGGAGTCAGCAGGTCAAGCGTTTCCTGGTGAGCGTGCGCTAACAAAATGGCCGGAAGTAAAATAGTGTTTCAGATATTTTGAAACATTTCCCTGTTTTCATGATTAAATTGTATGAGAATCGGTGAGATTTCATAATAACTTAAATGTCAATGTCAATTTAGTGGATGTTTTATAAGCCAGTTTTCCCTCTGGGTACAGATTACTTTTACCCTCTTATAGTTTAGTAGAGTTTTTTTTAATACACTGTCATTGTGGGGGGGAAAAAATCAACTTCTTTGCTTTTTCCTTTTTTTGGGAAAATGTGTCTCAGACATACATGCTGCGGTGAAGGAAATCGCCACGATTAACAGTGTGGATCTTCTAAAAATTCGGAACATGCTGTTAGAGAAATGGATCTGCAAAACTGGCCCAGCTGCAGCCAAGGTTTGTTGGTCCTTGTTTTGTTTTTTCCCCCTCCCTTTCTATGAATCTTCTATCGCTCTGCTCTGTGGTTTGTTTAACCTTTGTGTCATTATAAAAAGTTTTTTTTTTCTAATAAAGGACATAGGGAATCAAGACTGTGTCACCAACATTGAGGAGGACCCAGACTTAATGAGGTACTTGTGTTTTCATTTTCATAAACAATATTTGCTACAGGAACCCATCGAATGTTATTTTTCAGCTGCTTGTCCTTTACAATTGAAATTGGCCCATCCCTGTTTGTTTTTTATGTTGCAAGTTGAATGGGTTTTGCCTCTGCAGCAGTTGGTTTTTGAGCTAGAAAACCACCACAGATATGCTGAGCTTTCTGTTTGATGCTGCTAGGGTGGTGTACATGCTGCAGTCCTGTCCAGTGGATGATGCTGTCCGTCTTCTGGGTTCTGTTCTGTCGGCTGAAACTTGGGTACGCTCAAAGAAATATGCATGGGTCAGTAATGTTGCCCAAGCCTAACTTTTTTTGGATTCCTGTCTGTAGCCCCTCAGCTCATGTGGACCCCGCCTGACCTTCTGCCATCGGACTCGAGCGCTTCTTTGTCTCATCCACCTCGCCGATCCAGCCACCCTGGAGGCTCAGTTTCAGATCCCAAGGACCAAACTTCTGTATGAGGGCATGAAAATAGTTAAAACAGGTTGTGCTTCAATTGACATATTTCATCAAGCTTCAGTTTTGTTATGTTCACATGCAGATACTATCTGAAGTGCTACATCTTTGTCTCTCGGCTGGAGGCCTTGAACATCCCCTACACAGTGCAGTCCTTCGTCAATAGTCCCAAAGAGGGCCTGGTAAAAGGGCTGTGGAAGAACCACAGTCATGAGCCGCAGGTACGTTCCAACAGGACACGTTGCAACCGATTCAACAAATAACTTCATTTTAGCCTCACGAGATCAGAAATGCAGGAAAAGTGAGGGTGCCTGTGCCGTTTCAGGCTGTCCGTCTGGTGGCAGACCTGTGCTTGGAGTATGAGGTTTACAACCCTCAGCTGTGGAACAGTATGCTTCAGAAGATGTTAGGCTTCAACTTGGTGAGGCCTCATGCACCTACATTTTGCCAAACCTTTTTTTTGTTTTATGTATTCTTTATTTATTATTTGTAATTTATTGTTATTACTTTAAAAAAAGCTGAAATGTTAATCACTCTGTGGTCAGTTTGTGCTCTGAGACAAACAGAGGTGTGCCTCTTTCCCCTGCACAGATCGGACACTTGCAGAAGGTGCTGGAGGCAACGGTGGCTGTCCCAACTCTGTGGGAGGTAATGTTACCATTAATCACTTGATAAACAAGGTAGGCAAACATCCTTTTGAAGCAAGTGTTGAGGTGGATAAAAGAAACACCACTGACATCACCTACGCTTCCTGTTGCAATGTGGGAGAAGAAAAACCCGTCATAGCAAAGAAATACTTCCTCCTCATTAACTTCTTTTGTCCCCAGATTTCAAGTTTCTCCAGGACGTGGAGGAGTCTAATACTGGCACCTTTTGTCTCAGGTAATTTATTATAGTAGTTAAATTCCCTTATACTTACATAGGTCTTTATGTCCACTGGTACAACAAGTAATTTATACTTATTGAAAATCTCCCCAGTTTTTCAGTTGTAATCCAAATTACGTTTTCACATAAACTGTGGCACGTGTTGGTATAATACTGCTGATACTCAATAGATTTGATCATAGGATTACATTTCTGAAATATTAAGTTTTATAAATGTGCCTTTGTCCTGAAAAAGAAATCTAAACAAATAGTGTTCCCTTATGTTTCCACGTCAGTTAAATAAATAGTTGGTTAAATGAGGATACATTTGCCGTCTGCCCTTTTTCTGAGTACTTATTAAAACCTCTTATCACTGATTTCTTTCCCCATTCTTTCACTGGTAGCCATTTCTTTTGAATAATCACCACTTTCCAATGTGTTGTCTACATAACAGCCTCAGTTCCACTGAGCCCAGATCAGCAGGCTACACTCTACCGGACCTTTGTTCTCCTGCTCAAGTACGTCCTACCAATGTAGATTTTAAAGGATGCTCCATATATATGTTTTTGTTTAACCAAAAAATGTCATTTGAGAATATATTCCCAATACATTATCAAACTGTTTTACAACAGGGTGTAATACAATATATGAAATGATGAAACTGAATATAGCTAGAGTTAAACGCAAGTACATGAGGAGTGATACAAAAAAACTGAACTTCTTTTGTATTGTATGTGTTGTGTAAGCATGGATACACGCATGCATGCAGGCAGTTTAATACAGTCCAATTCCGTCTGTTTATTCGTTTTATCTGAATTTTAGTTCTTTCCCTTGAACTAACCTGCTCCTTTGCCCCTTTTTATACATTCCCTCTTCATAAAGGTGCCCTTTCCTGTTGAACTTGGACTTGATAGGAATTGCAAACCGCTTTGCACAGTTCAATCTGCCCGCCTTTGCCTTGGGAACTCTCCTTCTTATTCCCTGTGCCCAAAAAAAGGAGCAGCAGATTCAGGTAAATGCATCCATGTCTGAGCAGCATGTGAAAATGTTTCTCTAACTATAACCAAAGGCCATCCTTTTTGTTGTTTCTAGGGTTTTCTCTCTGTCTGCAACCCGGTGACTGTCCTTGAGCAGGTGGAAGAACTTATGAACACCGGGGAATTGGCAGGGATCCCTTCACAGGTCACATGTTCTTTTAGATTTGATTAAAATGTTTCCACAACATTCTTTAAAAAAAAGTATATATATATATTAACTATTCTTTTTAAAAAAGTTGTTTTTTAAACTTAAACAAGCAAGACATTTAGGCACAAATATTAGGCAAAATAATATGTTAATAAATGTTAATAAAACATTACCACATCCATCAAAAAAACCTTAGCATTGTTTAACCGACGTGTGTTGTGTGCCACTTGTTCCTGTGTTATGTGCACACTCATATCTTATATTTACTTTAGTTTCGGGTAAGGTGTGAAACCTATTTTTACTTGAAAGACATCTTACTCATTTGATGTTTGTTTGCTGGTGATGTTATGGAAATGGACTTTTGGCATTTTAGTTCCTACACACATATAGGCCTTGGGTGGACGGATGTGCTTTGGGTTTAAGACACAAATGTTGGCAAAAACCATGGGTTATGTATGAAATGACATTGTTTGATGTATGATTCCTCAGATCAGGGAGACCGTATTGACATTTCTAAGCCAAAATGGGCTGCACCAGAAGCTGATGGGGACCAAACACTTCAACCATCTGAAGCAGCTCATCGTCTCAAATGGCCAACCTAACCAGATGAGAGACTTAGTGGATTATCTGATCAGCCAGAACTGGTAAGATAGTTACATAACTCAGTGGATCAGATTAAAATTAAAAAGGGGCCAGTATGATACAAAATATTATTTTATTGAATTCAACACATTAAGACTGATGAACAAGCTAATTTCCCAAAAGCTACTAAGAGTTTTTTGGGATTCTTTTTTTTCTTGGTGTGGATGGTGCATGTTATCACTAAACACTGTAGGGGTGGGACGGTTCACAAAATCCACGGTTCGGTTCGTTTCACGGTTTTGTGGTCACGGTTTTCGGTTCGGTTCGGTACATGGTGATTGTTAGGAAAATCTATTATGTCTTGTATAGTCAGGTTAAAACTAGGGATGGGGATCGTTAATATTTATTGATATCGATACTTTTATTGATACTCCTTATCGATCCGAGTCTTTATCGATAATTTTCTGTTATTTGGTGGAAAGACGATGCGACAATATTTAACAAATAAATAATTGTATTTTAAATTAAATGTAATTTTTAATAAATGTTGGCATCAGTAGTTTAATTATATATTCTAAAATAAATAGAGCAATATACAACTGTATTACTCATGTTTCTCGCCAAAAACTCAATTTCCCTTTTCTTTACGTTACACTTGAACGCATCATGATAACCTAATTGTCGTTTTACTGAGCCAATCTGAACACATCATCACGCAGCACGTCTGAAACTTTATTTACTTTTCAAGCTAACTAGCTTGTATGCTGCCGATTACAACACGGATTTCACAATTACTATTGTAATAATAAAAAAACGACCAGACTCGATAGTGGTATCGATAAGCCCAAACGTTATTGATTTTCGGGTTTTGAAAAAAGTGGAACCGGGTCCTTGATAGAACCGGGTTTCGATCCCCATCCCTAGTTAAAACTGAAAGAAAAAAGCAGTCTGACATTTGATACATTATTGTGACAGTCTTAGGTTAAAAATAGGTGAGATTCTGGCATTGCAAGCGAGGAAATAGTGCTAATTCCAACATGTGCTTGACTCTAAATGCAAAGAGGTCTATACAGCAGACCTGTAAACTGCTGTTGGCGCGTCTGATTTTTATCGGCTACGCTGCTTCGCTTCTTCTTCTTGTTTACTACTGGTGGTTGGCTTTGGGCGCAGTAGCGCCCCCTTCTGCTCTGGAGTGTAAACGCTTCCCTCTGAGAAAAAGGAGCAGTGCATGAACCGTGCGGTACACACGCGAACCGAACCGAGACAGTCGAACCGAACGGTTCGGACGGTTTTCAGAAACCGTCCCATCCCTAAAACACTGCCACCCATAATGTGTCTAAACACGTCCCTTCTTGATTCATCTTTCCAGGTAACATTATCATACTCTTAAAAGCTTTAATCTTCATAAGTAAAACTGCACATTATCCAAACTGAGAATGAACGTGTGCACCAGTTGTATTGTAGCCAGACTTCATCTGTAGAAAGGATTACAAACATGTGTTTTTGCTTGCTCTAATCAGTCTTTTCTATCTTCTCCTCAGTCAGGATGATGCTGACTTGCTGGCGTGTGAGTACCTAAAGCACAGAGAGCATCAGCGAGGGAAGACGCTCGCAGATGGCTCAGCTGCTCGGGGCTGTCTGAAGGTCAGAGACGCTCCCCCTTTAGGCACAGCATAACATATTTCGGGAGTTTATGTTTACCTTGGACTACTTAACGTTTAGCGTTTTTTTAATAAATGCATATGTGTGTGTGTGTTTTTTTCTTTGTTTTCTTTAGGAGTTTCTTAACATTCAAACCGGAGTATCTGGATGAAGCAGCACGATCTCCTCCTGATGTATTTACAGAATTTCTCTCTTCCGACTTGGGCTTGAATGCAATAGTTGTACTTAACCATTTGTCTTTATCTTATCTTTATCTTTAATATGTGATTAAATGCTTTTCAGCTTTAGAAAATGTGTAGATTAAATTCCTTCAAAACTTTTTTTTTTCATTTGCTCCAAACGTGGTTATTTCCAAGTGTAATTACTGTTATATTATATAATAAAAAACTGAATGCCATAAAGAAAAAAAATCAAGGGTTCATATCAATCCCTTCGTAACAATGTGACACAATGTTCTAAAGACTCATTTAGATGTTTGAGGCAGGCTTTTGTTAAAATACCTGCTAGTTGTCTCTGAGAACGGGCTTCTACTGTGAAGTGTTCAATTAAAGTAATGTTATAACAATAATTTTCATTTTTCAAAGAGTAACAGCAATAATTAGTCTTACAGTGTGATTAAAACTCAGGAGTCGCACCAAAGAGAACACACGGAGCCATAGCTACTCAAAACCTCACATTTGTAACCATAGAATACAGTCCTAGTGACATAATCGTTTTTGTTGAAAATATTAAACAACCTAAAATCAAATTAGTATAACCATTTAGGAAAATTAATGAATTAAAGTGAGAATATAATAGGACTAGAAGCTTTCTAATCAGTTTAACACCCTTTTTTTATTGCTGATCTTAATCTGATTTTTTTATTTGTGGTGCTCCTTTCTTGCTGTGAGGTTTGACTTGGCATTAAATGGTTGAACAAACTGAGTAAACCAGAGACCTTAATGAAGAGAGCAATGATCTTTATTCTTTCAAATGTACTCAAATGACATTGAGCTTAGATATTCACATTTTGAGTTTAAACCATAATTTCTCTTTAATATGACTACACATTTTGGGATTTTTTTTGTGTTTAACATGTTTGCAGTGTTATACTTTGAAAAAGAACCCAAGCATCACAGAATAATCTTCACAAAAAAAAATCTAAAAAAATTAATGTTGAGCTTGTGTTTTGCATTAGAAATATTTTTAAGTTTGTGACATGTTTATAGACAGAGTTATATGTAACATACAGGTTATCTGCCTGGGAACAAACTGCTCCACGGTTCTGAGAGCTAAGATCTCTCTGGCTGTTAGATAGTCATGAACATTTTCATTCAAAATCCAGCAGATCTTTAGTGTGGAGCCGTACTTCCCATCTCCCCCGTGGAGCAGTCACAGCCGGCTGAGTGACTGCGAGCCTGACTCTCGGGCTTTCCTCTCTGCGCTCTCACTGATGCCGGTTTGGGGCAGACGTAGAGCTTTCCTACAGATGTTCTTGAAGACAGGGCTGGAGAAGTAGTACACCAGGGGGTCCAGCACGCTGTTGAGGTAGGTCAGACTGATGGTGATGTAGAACGCATTGTTCAAGTGCTCCAGAGCATCACACCTGTGGGTGCCTGCGACGGTCTTGATCCAAATCAGCACCAATGTGACGTTACTTGGAAGGAAGCAAATGATAAAGAGAACCACCACACCTATGATGAAGTAAAGAGCCTTCCTGAACTTTGCCTGGTGGGTAAGCTGCCTTCGTCTCAGCTGGCCAGCAATGTGGAAGGTGCAGTAGAGGATGACGAACAGAGGCATGTAGAAGGAAAAAAGAAATGTGAACTTATGCCAGGAGATAATACTTTGGGGATCTATGGGAATCATGAAGCTCTCGCAGCTGGTCGTGTTGTGTTGGAGGGTGAGGATGTGGGCAGTCATTGTGATGGGGACCAGCCACAACCCGAGTGCTCCGAGCATGGCTTTCCCCACACTCAGAGAGTTGATGGGGTGATGGGGGTGCACCACCCGCATGTACCTGTCCACAGCGATGGCCATCAGGAAGAAGGTGCTCCCGCTGCGGTTCATCGCCAGCATGAAGAGGCAGATGTTGCAGAGGTGCTTTCCAAACAGCCACACGGTCTCAGAGCCGTAGTAGCTGGCGCGCAGCGGCAAAACCAGGTTGAGCAGGAAGTCGGCCACGGCCAGGTTGAAAAGCAACACTGTGCTGCTTTTCCACGGCCTCTGGTGGTAGCAGAAGATCCACAAGGCTAATCCATTAGTCAGGAGTCCCAGAACAAACTCTGTGACCAGCAGTGGTGGGAGCACACTGATCAGAAGAGTTCCGTTGAAGCTGCACTCCATGGTGAGCTTTGCGTTGCCTCCCTGCCAGCAGGTCTAAGAAGTGGCACTCTTATAGCCGAGCGCATTATTTAAATGGAACACCGACGCACAGCAAAGTGTTGCTCGTGAGGAGGAGTCACCACGAACCCCACAGTTCTGCTTTTCTACTGATGATGCTAAATACTGATTCAGGTTTCTTTACAGAACTGTAAGAAGGTGAGAGGTTTTATTTCCCAGAAGCCCTACACTTTAATGCAATTCTTGCTTTAGAATAAAAAAGAAAGACTTTACTTCTATGAAACCACCATTGCATAACAAATTTCTTATCATTCAAGTTCAGCCCCGACAATGAGCTGAGCATGATATCACATTTAATGAGGCCTGTTTTAGAGAATCGATCACACTCTTGCAGTGACTATAAATCAAGTTTTAAATGCGCTCTGAAGTCAGAATAAATAATGTCAATTATACTCTTATGTCTTTACTCACTCTTGAATGAATTAATCCAAAATGTTATGAAAACTAAAGCTAACCCTGTTTCAAAAGGAACATGTTTCAAATGCTTCAAAGTTATGAGCAGTTCATCCCGGTTTTACTCTGAGGGGTTGTAATAAGTCAAAAACTCACCTCACCAGCGCGCCAGCAACCCACTGAGCTGCAAGTCCTGAGAGTAGGGCCACATTAGCAAAGCTGGAGAAAAGGTAAACTTCCCTACTCAGAGGAGCGTGTTAACACTGTTGACTGCTTGTAAGTAGCTATACAAACAAGTTGAATGTGCCCCTGTTTTTTATATTGCACAAGGCTATTGAAAAGTTTTAAGTCATCTATACTTCTGTGTAATCACAGAATAGATGAAGTGAAAATAGCTGTTTCTGTTTTGACTGTGCGCAGAGAAGCATTTGCTGCAGAAAATAAACCGAAACTGTGAACTTTTCGGGGAAATATGTGAACGCTGAACTGATAGACGTCTTTCTCAGCAAGTTTCTGGTTTCTTGTTCTATCACCAGAAATGTTTATTGTTTAACCGTCAGAGGTATTTGGATTATTATGTCATTAAAACATAGAGCAGCATGAGGGTATTGTTCCCATGGTGACAGGCAGCTTCAGATCTGCATGGGTTAAACGAAAAACTTGAGCCCCTGACTCCTGCTGTGATGGGATCATGTTTTTGCTGACATTGTTTATGTGGACTTATTCCTTAAAGGGGAAGGCTCACTGAAAAACAATACACATTATTCATTGTAATCTGACTAGCCCTTGAACGTCACTGTAACCAAACAGCTTCTTCACAACACACAGCATGGAGGAGTGTCATCTGGAAGAGGGGCACTCCAGATTATCAGAGGCCTCAGCAGGCTGCCACCGGGCTCGTCTTTACCGCCTTCTGGTGGATGAAATCAGAAATTGCTACCTTCTCCCCTGAGTCATTTTGAAGTGGTATGCTAATCAAATATTTTTTCCATTGTAGAAAATAACAAAAAAAGAAAAAAACAGATGTGTGTTTTTGAGTCAGAGCGAAAACAAAAACCACAGAATACAGCTTTGTGTGTCTGTATTCTATATCATTTCTTTAAGGAGTTCTCTAATCATTTAAAAAACAGTAAGAGGATGATACACATCCAAACAGTTAAAATAGAAACACTCAAACTTTCCATTAGCAGCTTAGCAATGGTTTGGTCACAACATCATTACATCACTCGCATTCTTTTTACATATCACAGATCTCTTAGTGGTTTATCCATGGATGTGACCTGTCATGCCTCACCAGGTCAGATGCTGCTCCGTTTAGCTTGTGATCGGGCTGGGTAGAAAAAATGTAAAAGATCCAGTTTGGCCTGCGGGACAGACAAAAGCAGCCCTCGTGTGTCCTTCACCTGCATACCTGGGAACAAAACATCACCGTTGGTACTCCGCCCAGCACAACAAATGGGAATTTCCTGTCTTACAACCTTGGAACAGAACTTGATTATAGTCTACATTCAAAAGTATTTCTCACTCTCTGCTGTCAGACAGTTGTGTTTTTTTAAATATTTGTTGAGGAAAAACTGGAATGATAATTTTCATGTGTGAATGAAACCCGCAGCACTGGTGTGTGGGACTACATTTGGTGTAACGTGTGTTTTGCTTGATTTGTTTTGGAGCGTGTAAGGCTGAATCTGTGAAATAAAAGAGGAAAATAGATGAGTGCCGAGACACGCAGGTTACACAGAGTTGAGGTGATATTGTTTTTTCTCAAAGAGAGAAGAGACAACCAGCTGCTTTAACCCCTCAACCAGCAAATCCTCATCCAAACAGCCACTAAATCTAACACCTATTACCTGAACTGACCCACAAAAACAAACCCTTACCAGAATGTTCCCACATGTAATTTTACTGTTGTGTTTTGCTCCCCAGAACACCCAATAACACATTTTCTGCACTTCTGTGTCATGATAGAGAAAAATAGCATAATTGATCTATCCATCCACCCCTGATGCGCCTAAAAGTCACTTTTTAGTTTTAAAAGACTGAAACCACTTTTCTGTGTTCCTGTAAATATATTTCGCAAGGACAAAAATGGCGCATATGGACAAACGTGCACATATTTTAGAGGAGGTATCAGTTTTAATCTGACATTGTTTCGTCACATTGTCATAAAGCCAGTGTCATTTACGCATGGCGCTGGTCCACACGTCCTCTGATTTGTTGAGAAAAAGAAAAAAAAACTTCCTTGTTTATGTCATCAGGCTTAAAAAAGAAGCAACTAACCGAGATGAGTTTGTGATTTTATTGAAATGCGTCACTGCTAGAGTAACGGAGGTGCGCAAACGCGCAGAACAGTGGCCTGACTCAGAAGAAAAAGCCGATCAGAATCCTGGATCCGGGAAAAAAAATAATGACCTGACGGTGTGGGAGGATGTCAGCCCTTGAGTACATGATGAAAATCCTCCCCCGTCGCCCCCTCCCCACCTCTCCCTCCCTCCCTCCTTTGGGGGGAGGATCCATCTACGTAACGCAAAGCATTTGCTTTTCCTCCTTCCTGCAGCCGCGGCGCATCAGCGGTAATGAAGCCGCAGCCCGGAGATGTCCCTCAGACATTCCCACTCTGCCAGGGGACCCGATAGGAAAGGAAACCGCCGTTCCGTGTGCTCGTTCTGGCTTGTCGTTGCTGTTGGGGAAGAATAACCATTCGTGGCTGAGAGTGGCAGGGAGCGGGGCGCAGGATGAACAGCATAAGACAGGTGCCCTCGCGCGTGAAAAGCAGGCGCACCGAGGCCAGCCTCGGAGCCGAGAGGGATCATTTTGACAAGCAGCAGGTAAATATGGAAAACAGCTGGAGACGGCTCGGCTCTTTGTGTGGGACAGGAATCTGTGCTCGATTAAGGCCTGCTGTTTTGTTTAGTTTTTTTTTTTTACTGCATGGGCCACATTTCCAGTGCGCACCTAGATAAGGTGGAAAGTTGAACGTCGAGAAAGCCGTTTTGTGTTGCGATTATCCAGTCATTCAAAAAAAAAAAAAAAAGCCAGACAAATTCTGACTGTGAGCTGAACGATTTGATCAATACCCAAACTTTAACTGAAGGGGAAAGGAAGATGCGTTTCACTGGAAGCAATGGTAATAAGCCCTTTTCAGTTGTAGTGGTCAACTTTAAAATATGTTAATGATGCGGTCAATTCAAAGTATCTCTTGACTTTAAGACTGAGAGTCAGCCAAGTCCACGCCATTCATTCCCCACTGACGTCTGTCCTGTCCTACCTGTTTGGTCACCTCCACACAAGGTCTATGGCTGTATTTGTTTAATGCCTGCTTGTTGGATAAAACCCAAAAATATGGAAGGGAAAAGGTTTAACTGCTTCAAGTGAATCAGAAGTCAAATTCTTTTGAGTATGGGCACTGGAGGGGGAAAAAAACTTGACTAAATTCTTCCCATAACAGATTCTTTGTAGTCTTTGGTGGTTTGCCTATCTGAAAAAGGAGCTTTTACACCATCCGCTGTTGAAATGTAGCTTCCTGTTGGTTAAATTCTTAAACGCCAAATAATACTGGGAGTTGAGGTTAAGCGCACACCCCAGCCTGACTGAGAAATCTGAGATTCAAACCAGGCTGAGTAACAAAGCAAACTGCAGAGCAGCACCCGTACCGTTTTGTTATCTGAAATGGGCTGAGCTCTTGCTTTGCCGGCAGGATGTTTCTGCCGATGTTTTATTTGACTTTGAAGCGTATGTAGCGAGGTGGGGGAGCTTCAACCACAGAGTTTGTCCTTCATCTGTGGAAACCAACCTCCACCCCCACCCCCCAAAAGAAAACTGGAAGATAATGTATGTCTGTAGAATTACGAAATAGCAATCCAAGACTTTGTGATGAGAGGCTGTATAGTGGGTGAGAAACGACTTATTTTTTACATGTTTTTGCTCTAAACGAAACTTATCATACATAAATCACTGATATTTGCTGGTCCAATTCCAGGTTTAGTTTTTTTTGCAATCCTAACATGGGATCAGGCCTTTGTGTTGCTTGTTTGAAACCTGTTATGCAGGTGGACAAAGCAAGTTTGCTGATCCTGTATCTGCCACATGTCACAGTTATCTGGGCAATCAATTAATTTGGTTTAGATTTCCATAATGGTAGGAATGAAAGCAGCTGATTGAAACAACTATTTCCAATATGTTTTCTACAGTTTGCTAATCCAGCTTTTGCTTAGATTTATCAACACTGTTTGTTGCTTGAGACAATGAACTCCTCATATTCAATCATTTTAAATTCCAATATCTGCTGACATATTCTTAAATGAACCTATACTTTAATTGTTCATTCTCCCGTTATCCTTTTAAGTTTCTTTACATAAAAGCACCAGCTAAATGCAAAAGTGTAATGTTCTTACAACATTGGTATGGACCTATGTAGTTTTATGGCCATATGATGGGGGGGAGATGCTGAAAACACTCATCTTCAACTAAAAGTAAAAAAAACTCAACAAAACATGGGGATGGAGGAAGTGGAGTCAGAAAATTATGCCAGGACATTAAGGAGCGACTTGCTATACACACATCAAGTGAACAAAAAAGCCTCACTTAGATCTAACATACACATTGTTGAATTATTTACGACAAGGTCAGACTGACGAGGAGTTAATTTAACTTGAGAAACCGCGATGACTCCAATGTAAAATGTATTGACCTCATAATGTTGGAGAATGTAAGTTCATTTTGGGAGTCTGTCGAAGCCATATGCTTTTTGGAGTTTACCCGGAGTTGAAACGGCCTGCACATTTCAGAGCCAGTCTCTCCAGTCCTAATCCACATCCAGTCTGTGCTCCTGAACAGTGCTTATCATCAAACATGGTCTGCATCTAGCCTGAAAGTTTTACTGTTGGCTTCTTTGCTGTGTTGCTTTAGTACGCTACAGCCAAAACACCAAAGGCCCTCTTCCTCTGTTATTCAGGTCAGCTCCAGGTTTATACATGTGACTCGTGTACACCTCCATTCAAGGGAGATCCAAAATTCTCTTTACAACACAATATTGTAATCCTTCAAAGCCTGATCCAAGAAAAAATAGAGCGAGAATTTAATTATTTTTAATCTGAAATCTTTCTTTGGCCACCTTACAAAATATGAAAAGAACCAACCATAGTTTCTGAATATTTGTCATCAGTAAATTATGGAAAAGGTCTTTGATACAAAAGATTTTAGAGACCCTTAGTAACGAATATGATACATAGGGTGTTACACGGGTTGAAATCATAATGTGACATGGAGCAAGAGCAGTTTCTCTTACTTTGTCAAAGCACTGTCAAACACATGTTATGTTGAGTGACAAGTGTCACAGGGCTGATTGAAGTCACAGCTCTGTCAGAGCGGGGGTTCCAGCTGCCTGTCCTCAGACAAATGGACTCACCGGGTAACATGCAAATCAAGTTGAAGATGGATCTTACCTCATCCAGCAGTAATCTAATTACTCGCAGCTGACAAATCCAGTATATAAAGTTACTGGTGAGCTCGTAACCTGTTAGTTTAAAGAGGTGAGCGCCCGGCAGCTCAGCAGTCCTGCTGATTCATGGACTGAGCTGATTGAAACTCCTCTGCTGCTCTTTACTCTCCCTCCGTTCTGCTCTTCTGCCTCCGCCTTTCCGGCTGACCTGTACCAATGTTGAAATGTCTATCACAGCGTCCTTGTGTTTGTGTGCGCGCGTTTGTACTGTTGTGTTTGCTTTCCCTTCCTCCTGTTGCCTGAGTGAGAGCCCATAAGGCAGAGAGGGGGGGGGGGGGGGGGTTAGTGTTTGGGAGCACCAGAGGATTAGCAGTCACCTCTGGCTGGGAGCACAGGCAGCAGTGACACAGCTGTGCTTACCTTTTCACACACTGATAAATCTTTCGTTTTGCTCCGCATGTTTAAGCGCGGTATTCATCTCAAAACTGGGTTTCAAGCCAAAAACAAAAGCGCCCGAATAGGTTTGAGCAGTGAATTTCGCCCGAGATGCACATAATACCAATACTGTATATGTTTACAAAACATGTGCTCATGCGGCCCGTAACAGCCGTCTATTTTCCCTCACAATAGACCAATGTCAGTGCGCTCAGTCGTCATTGTAATCCTAGTTTGAGCCATTTGCATAGATTGTGAGGCCGGGTTTCCTGAATATCATGTGCTCATCATCATACAATTTACCAGCTCAGCAGTCTGCGCCAGAAACTAGCTGGGGCTGCTGGGGAGCAGCTTATGCCCTGTTGAATATTTTAATGTTGTATTAATAATTCAATTGGGAATAAAAGTGAGGCCTAACCTAATAAGACATCATGACTTCCATTTGTGTGGACATTCAATGGCTGTTTTGATTCCCTCGGCCTCTCTTAAAGTCGTCCGGGCACGCTGCTGCTGCTGTTTTCTGCATAAGGTCCAGTTACACTTCACTTCCTACATAAAGGGTCTTTGTCACTTCAAAGTGTGCCTGATTACCCACAAAACCCACAAAAGATCAGTGTTGCCAGTTCCATGATGGAAAGTTAAAAAAGCCCACTAGTAATGTTATATGTTCATGTTCATAATGGAGTTCTTTTGATTAAGTATGTTTTTTACAATTGTAAGGATTCTAACTTTGCACAACAGAGGAACACGTCAGGTGGTTTATGAGCTCGTGGGTGCCCGTCTGTTGGAATGCTTGAGCAGATAGCTGGAGGAAAAGGCATATTGACCGGCCTGTGTCGGTTTCAGTTGGCAGTAAATGGACACAAGCATTCGACCGTAAGCAAAAGAAGAAAGAAAAACCAAATGAAAAAACCCTGCAAAGCCACTTGATCTAACACCTTATATTAAACATAACATAGTTTTCAGCTCTCGTATAAATCCCCCTGTCAAATTGAAATGATGTCATAGATATTTTCCCCATCACTGGGCTTATCCTCTCCGTTGCTTGTGTTTCTGTGGTCGGCGTGCCAACCAGCTGAGCCGCTCTCCTCTTTAACCTGAGCTATCGGGCGTGAGTGGCGTGGAAGTCCGCGTCTGACCTTGTTCCACAGATCCCCTGCAGTAGTTTATTGAATTAAGCTGATAAGACCAGCAAGAAGTGCTCTCGCCTCAGAGCGTTATGTCCGGCGAACGGCAGCTGAGGTGCTGCATGGATGCTTTGACGTTTGCTCATTTCACTTTCCCTTTTCTACCACATTCATGGACTCGCTGTTGAAACCCAGAGATGAGACGGTAGGCACCCGTTTGGAAGCAGCTTGCAGTGTTTGGCGTTTGCAGACTGGGGTGTGAGTATGTTACTACAGTAATGCTAGCTGGCAGCAGACCTTATGGCAGGCCCCGGATTAGTCCAGGCTGTCCCTCCCTCTCACTTCTCCTATCTGCTGCTCGGTGGGGGATTTGCTCTCGTTGGAGCCAGATGCAGCGGCGAGTTCGTCCACATCGGACAGTTGAATGTCAGCATGGCTGCCGCCCTCGAACTGAAGCGATGAGTCCCTGAGAAGTTTGGCTTTGGTGCGGCTTGGATTTTACTGTTAGGTCAAGGGGGGCTGATGTTGGGAGTATTGTGTGTAGTGGTACAGGTTTGCAAACATTTTCCTGTAGTTTCAGTGAAAGAATTCCAGGAATTTTATTCATGAACAAAAAATGAAAGAAAAGTGCTGATATATTATGACTTTTCATATATTGTTGACCAAATGAATCATAAGGCAACTATTTGGCTAAAGCAACTTTGTCAGTTTCACTAGTAACTGAGGGGTTGGTAGTTTGATCCCTGTGTGAGCAATGCCCCTTTTTCTTCTCTGAAAGAAGAGAAATGGTATAAAGGAGTCAGGTCTGGGCTGCTCGTGTCCCTGAAACAGTCTGCGCTGAAGGTGGTTATCCTGTTCGGACTCCACGCTGCATGTAGTTGGCCTCCTTCCACCTCTTCTTTTCCTTTTTATGTCCCCATCCTTTGTGACCCGCCCCAGTGTTTCTTACCAGCAGCCATTCTGAATGTCCTATGACAGTCTCCCTGCAGCCTCGCTGCTCAGTCGCCATCTGTTGAGGCCTCTATGCCAGGCTCCGTTTGCCAGAACGCGGCCCGCATCCAACCCAGTCTTCTACCCCAGCCGCCAGCCCTCCTCCCCCAACAGACCCCTCATTGTCAGACGAACCTCCACGGTCGCCCCCTGTGCTCTCCCCGACTAAACCAGGGGCTCGCAGTTCATTTGCGTCAGAGGGAGGTGGGGGGGAAAGTCTCCTTTTAGCCTGTGCACCACACTCTCAGGCTGGGCCTCCGTTTTGAGGCACAGTAGCCCCTCTGTGCTTTTCTTGCTGGACTAGTTTTGGTGGTTATGTGGATTGTAGTGGTTACTGCCTGGTTTTCGATGCTATAAAGCGTCTTTATTATGTTATGTTGAACTAAGGCCCCCGCCAGTGACAGTTTTTTGAAAAAATTTTATCAAGAAGCTAAAGCAAATTGAAAAAGCCAAGTCACCATTACTGCTCCAGTAATGCTTGAATATATTTAGCATTATTCTCCTATGTAATGGATGATGACATTTGCTTCAAAATCATTATGGACTTTATCATAGACGGTTTTACTAAAAAAGGTTCAAACCAACACTATAAACATGCATTTTAATATTTACCTTCACATGTAAGGGGGGCATACTTTCCCAGATGTGACCGCTAAAGTGATTCCACCTCACTCATATTTTAACATGTTTTAACAAAGACTTGTTGATCTGGTTGATTGCAACATTTCCCCTCAGAGAGCGACTATGATTTTTTAAATGATTTCTTTCAACCACAGCACTAAGTTGCGGCTTAGGGCAGGGCCCTCACACGTCTTGTGGAGCCATATTTAGCAACGGTTGGTGTCACAGCAGTTAAAGATAACTGTGCCGTCTAGCCATTACTTATCATTGAGTCATCGTTATGTTTTTGTTTATGAATGACTTGAATCCTCTCAGTTCAGTTGGATTTAGGGGTTTTGTCCTGTGACCCTGAGATCTAACCTTCTGGGCTCAATTTGGGCTTTACTGCATAGTCATACAGCTTGACCACAGCAAGCATATTTTAATCTTGGAGCTGAAGTACACACCGTCTCAGACTGAGTGAGGCTATGTCTGTTTAATCAATGCAGGTTTGACCTGCTTGACGGGTTGCAGAGCAGCCTGCTTCGTGTCTTGTGGTGACACATATTCCAGGTGTTATCAGTGTAGATTTAGTCAGTTTGCTCATACACTCCTAAATATAACTTAAATCCATACAAACATTGATAAGGCTTTTTCAGATATTAAGTAGCGTCAGACTTTAAATTTGGTTCGACATTATCAACAAATAGCGACCCATTACATATGGTGTTATCATTGCCTGTAGAACTTTTCCTGAATGCCGGCTCACATTAGTTTAAATATAACTTATCACCCAATATTATTGAGTAAAATTGAACCTACATTTGAGATGACAACAAATACTGTTTGTGAATAGTTGTGAAGAAAGCAAAGTATCGTTATGTTTCTTGCTCACTTCATGTTACTGACATGTTAGCTTTTCATGACATTTTTTAAAACAAACCTGTAGAAAGTCTAACATAAACCTTTCTATTTCTCAGCTCAGCAGCATCAGCAAAGCAATCAACTCCACTGAGACACCGGTGAAGGAGAAGCATGCACGACGTATCCTTTCTTACTTAAAGGAGAAAAACTATTTGGTAAAAAGCATAGACAATCTTTCAAAGCTTGCTATTGTCACATTGGTAAAAAAAAAAATAGTTCACTAAGAAAGGGCATTTTTAAATGTGGATGCAAGCATAGATGCAGAAGAATTTGGTGTACATAACAAAATATTACTTAGTATTGATTGATTGAGGTGAACTGAAAAATACTTTAGATGCTGTGAAACTGGTAGTTAGTTGTTTAAAGCAACATGATCAGATTTTTAAAAAAATATAAAGCAACAATGGTATCTTTGTTAGAAATCACTTTCTGGAGTTAATACTGGGAAAGGTAACAGTTTTAAAAGGCTTTTAGGAGGAACACTGAGGCATTTGATGTAGTTTTACTTGTGAGCGTGTGCACGGAGCCTAGGAAGAAATATTTGTTAGTGGCGGTTGTTCTGTGGATGCTAAGAACAACTAGTCTCCTTCCTCTTTATGTTTGGGAGTTGTTTACATTCATGATGACAACATTTTTTTGTGACCCATTCAAAGTCATCCTGAAATTTGCTTTGGAAAAATGTTTGTGTTATTTTGTTTTGTTCAAAGATTTCCTGTTTGAGTGAAAAAACCAGAAAATTCAGAGATGGTGGTTAAAAAAAGTTGAATAATTTAGAACAATGTTGAAAAGTACTGAATAAATTAAACATGTCCATTAAATGATGTTTACATTGAAAATGTGTTACCAGCATTCCATAGCTTCTGTGGTAGTTTTTCTTTCTGCTTTTGCCTTAACCATACCAACAGGCATCATCCTGGGAACACACAGGGAGAAGGGAGCCTACACCTTCTGGTCTTACGCACAGGGCTTCCCTCTGGCCAGCAGCTCCATCCTTAGCTGGAAGTTTTGCCATGTTTTGCACAAAATCCTGCGTGATGGTCATTCAAATGTAAGGCACCAAGTACCTTTTCTAGCTGCTTTCCATTATATGACTCCAGCCTTTGCAGACCCATGATCAGGATGTATAAAAGCTAAATAAAGACACAAAAAAATGGGAGTGTGATCCTAAAAACTCAGATGTGGAAGACAGAATTAATCAAATTTTTCGGTCGATGTGATTCTCTGTAAAAAATCTGATATGTTCAAAACAAGCAGGATTCTGTGCGCAATCTTTTGTTTATTCAAGGTTTAACCCACACAGGTTCTGCAGGATTGCATGAGACATCACAGTTCTTTAGTTGAAACTGGAAAATTATGGGTGAGTTGTAGAATATTTATGATTTTTTTTCCCTCCCTGTTATTTCAAAACTCAATACTTGGCTTCCCTGCTCTTGCGTTTTCCAGGGCCACCTCCATGACAAATATGGCCAGCTGGCCGCCCTTTATACCAGTCTGCTCTGCACAAAATTGGAGTTTCACATAAAGGTAAGTGTGTCTTTGGGCATTTGTCATAAATATGTAATGCAATAGTACTTTAGGAATTCTCATCATGAGTGGGGATTGACAGTAAACCTTATAACTGGCACCTCAACGCAGCATTCAGAAATCCCCCCGAACCTGGAGGTCACGGATGAAGTTCTGGAGCGAACTGCTGGAACAGACGTTAACAATGTGTGAGTTAAAAACACAACAATTTTCTGGAGTTGAAGTACGAGCGGATCCCAAACTCTGTTCGCTGCTGTTTGAAGGTTACAGCACCATTGTGTCGGAGTGGGGCCTCGTTTCTGTGTGACAGACGTATCGACTTCTCCCCTGCAGGTTCCAGCTCACAGTGGAGGTGTTTGATTACATGGACTCAGAGCTGCGGCTGGCAGAGACAGGTGAAAACAAACTCCTCCCACCTTTCCCTATCGTGCCTTTCCAAACAGGAGAAACTGGAGCGACCACAGAGAACTGCTCCTTGCTCACATTATCTATTTACTCACAACAAGCTTAGAGCCATTAGAGAACGGGTTTCTGTGAGCGGCTCCCGGTCAGCCTGCTTTAACAGATTGTGGTCCGTTTTAATTCTGAAATGCGACTTCGGCTGCTGAAGCTTGAGGTCCAGTTTCAGCCCCTCTTTCCCTGCTTTTGTGCTGATGAGGAAATGCCTGCTAATTAAGGGACATTAAAGTGATTTCCTTCCTGGCCTCCAGGGTGAAGGCTCTACATCAAAACACTGTAAACAAAAACTGCAGCCGTACTGTGAATGGAATTTGGTGACAAAGTCAGTGTTGGCTCTGGACTGTGGAGCCACACGCATGAAAGCTCTATAGCCGCGTTTGCATGCTGGAGACTGAGTTTGTTTTCTGTGGTTTCGCTCATCGGCTGACTCTCTAAAAGCAGACTTCATTCTACCGGCTGTATCAGTGCAGCCTCAGTCTGTAATAACCCCACCACTTATCAATTATCAAGCAAGGCCTTCAAACCTTTCAGAGAGCAGCTTTTAATGGCATATACTTTACAAAGATGTTTTGAATAAAAGCGTATGTCTAGTTTACAAAATCCACATCGGGGATGATTAAATGCTGTCTGTGCCTCTGTCTCCGATTTCTGTCGCAGTGATCCGACAGCTGAACACATCCATCGCCATCTCCTCCCTCACGTCCGGCCAGTGTCGCCTGGCCCCGCTCATCCAGGTCATCCAGGACTGCAGCCACCTCTACCACTTCACTGTCAAGCTGCTCTTCAAGCTGCATGCCTGTAAGGATGCGTCGGTTTTTGTTTTCTTTTACCCAGGAACAGGATTTATTCACCATAACTCTATGAAACCAGAGGAGGATATTCTGATTGTTTCTGAGGTAATTCTAGATATGACCCCTAACACACTGGACCATGCCTCATAATTTCAGGTCTACCGGCAGATACTTTACAAGGACACCGGGAGCGTTTCCATGACCAGTTCCGCAGGTATGTGGAGTGATTGCAAGGTCTTTTTGTTGTTGTTTTTTTCAATCCAATGACTTTTGAAACATAACCTTGCCACACCTAATCACTGCAGGTCTTCAAACCAACGTAAATATGACCATCCCTTAGCTTTTGTCTGTGTTTGTCTTGTGCTGTGTTCACAGAGCTCAGCTCAGATAAAGTTATTTGACGACTATTCTTTACAAACGGTGTCATTTTAATTGGATCTAAGGTTACGCTCAATTTTAGAACAAATTAAGTAGTCTGATATAGCTGTGGTTTATGGAAAAAGCCATCCATTCAATTCAAATAGACTAGATTATCTTCATGTTGTGCAGTATTTGTGCATTCAGTTCTACCGTTAATCTTGTTTTCTCGTGTCACACAGCCTTAAGAACTTCTTCAATAAAACCAGAGACATGCTGTATTTCAAGAGAATGATCCAGATTCCCAGACTTCCTGATGTAAGTGCACGGCGGGGCATGGAGCCTCTGGTTTTTGGTGACCAAAGGCTGAGTCACAATCATGACACTGTCTGCAAACGGGGGAAATTCACTTATTTTGTTAGACTTCGTCATCCGGCTGCATTTATACCAATCAGAACGATGGCTGACTGTTGGCTTGTTTCTGCCTTCCTTGGCAGTCTCCACCTAATTTCCTGCATGCAGCATCACTGGCCAAACACGTGAAGCCCGTGGTGGTGATTCCTGATGACGATGAATCTGAGCAACAAGACGAGGATGATGATGATCCAGAGCCACTCATCGAGGTCAGCGACGTTTCAACACCAATCGTCCAGGCACAGCCACAGGTATGTAACCATCACTTACTTTTAGCCAATGAAACTCTCTGCCATATCTATATATTTATGTTTTCCATCCCTGAACAGATGGACATATTTGATCAGGCCTTTGGACCACCAAACGGAGGCTTTGATGACAGGTGAGCCAGGGCCTGTTCTCTAACCTGTCATTGTTTAATTGATTGGTTCCTGCTCGTCACCGTGGGGTTTCTGTCTGGCAGAGATCTCCAAATTGACAGCTTGAAGTCCGAAATTGAGCTTTTGAGAGCAGAACTTGAGAGAGTAAAAGCAGAGGTAAGGGCTTTTAAGTAGCGTTTTGCTCATGTCTCCTACTGTTTTGTGTGCGTCTGTGACCTCAGGGGGGATGATTATCTGTGCACAAAGGCATCTGGGTCATGTGTTGGGTGGATGCAAATATTGCTCCTTACATGTAGAATGTGGCAAGTAGCCTCTGAACAGGAAGTGACGGCAATCAACTCAACACCACGAACAACCCCAGCCTGCAACCTTTTTTTTTTCTCTCCAATACTCCTTCGCACTTCCATGTGTGTTTCCTTTTTGGTTGTTTTATTTTTTTCAGATCCCGTCAAAAGAAAACAATTAGGAGTTTTATTAGAAATTATTATGTTTATCCGCCTGCATTGAAACTCATAAAAGGTTCTCCTGATTTAATTCTCTTTTCCTTTCCTGAAGGCTCAGCGCTATATCACACAGCTCAAGTCCCAAATCAACAGTTTGGAGGCAGAGTTGGAAGAGCAACGGATGCAGAAGCAACGTGCTCTTGTGGAGAATGAACAGCTGCGCATGGAGCTGGAGGCAACCCATCACCGAAACGTGGAGCACCAAAGCTTACAGACCACCTTCATAGAGGCAGAGAGTAAGGGCCCATATTCACAGTCTTGTTCAGAAGTGCCTTGTATGATGGGCGAGGTAACGCGTGCTTTTCTCTCGTCTGTGAAGAAAGGGCCCAGGCCACCGAGCAGCGGTACAACAAGCTGAAGGAGAAACACACAGAGCTGGTGACCAGCCATGCAGAACTACTCAGAAAGGTACAGACAGACTCCAGACCAGCCCAGAGTCGTTTAATTTGAATTAGGTGTCAGCACCTGGCTCTGAGTAGTAACAGTTGGTGTGTTAATGCACCAACAGAGTGCAGACACCGTGAAGATGCTGTCAGCAACCCAGCAGACCCAGGAGGAAGTGGAGAGGACCAAACAGCAGTTGTCCTTTGAGGTGGATCGGATAAAACAAGAAGCTGATATGAAGGTCGGTGCCGAGGAGCTGCAGAAACGTGCGTCTGTACAGGAGATGCGTACGCTTAACGCTGTTGTTGCTGCAGTTGGAAGAGCAGAAGTTTGAGATGGAGAAGCTGAAAAGAGAGCTGGACGAGAAGATGGCAGATATGATGCGCGTCAAGGCAACTCTGCAGAACAGCGAGAAGGTGATTGTGCTGTTGAAACTACCTCAGTTATGTTCAGCCAGCTCTTCATGAGGCATTTGTGGATGGACTTTCCCTCCAGCTCTCTTAGCCATTTGCTTTTTTGGCGGACATTCTCATCAATCGGCCGTTTGTTGTGTGTGTGTTTTTTGTCAGAGCTCGGAGCAGATGAACAGCTCAATGACGGCTCTGCAGGCTGAGAAGGAGCGTCTGATGCGCTCTGTGAGTGAGAAAGAGGCGGAGCTGTCGTCTCTGCGACAGGCGGCGCAGGTGCAGCAGTCGTCGCTCCAGCAGGAGCGGGACAGGAGCAGCAGGGAGCTGGGAGAGCTGCAGGGCAAACTGAAGGAGAAGGTCAGTCCGGACGGTGGAGCCCAGCCTGTATCATGTTCAGCACCTTTGTCTGTTCACGGTCACATTTTAGATCAACTTCCGTTATGAAAAAGCTATACAGATCATGAATGAGATAAACTAGAACTAGGAAAGAAAGCTTGATTGGCACATTTCCCTTTTATTTGCATCAGTGGTTATAGTTTACATGATTCAATTCAATAGGATTTGTACCAACAATTTTGAATTTCTTTTATAGAGAATGTATACCAGAGCATGTCATTGTGGTATAAGAAAGGCTTTAAAGAGCGGTGCACAATTTCTGTGACTGCTATTTCATAAACCAATTGCATAAAGCAATGTTTATGCAACTGCTAAGCTGGAAGCTTATTTTGCTTGACCCTTATATGAAGGCATGAATATTGGCTTGCATCTCTGCTGAGAAATATCTGAGGGTACAACTATTTCCTAACTAGTTAAAGATGGGTCAAATATCTAAATACATTTGTTGACCATCATGACAGAGGTGGGGAAATAGGAATGAATATACAGACACAACAATATTCTGTTTTTGCACTTTCATGTAGACAAATCAGGAGGAACAGATGAAGAAGAAGCTTCTGGAGGAGCAGTTTGCATTGCTCCAAGGTACTATAACAGAGGCTGAGAGCATTATTGAAGATGCCGTTGCCAAGCTGGATGACCCTCTCCACATACGCTGTACCAGCTCTCCAGGTCTGATGTGGTTTTTCAAGCTATTAGATGTGAAACATTTTAAATCCTTAAGTCAGGATTGTGTAGAATAGCTAGTATCCTTGTTAACATATTTTTCTATTACAAAGAAAATGTTTGAAATGTTTTTATTTTCACTGTTTGTTTCTCAATCCTCTGATTTCCCTTCACATACAGATTACCTCATAAGTCGGGCAGAGGCAACTCTGAGCTCCATCGACACAATGAAAAAGGGACACACAGCTTATCTGACTAACATGGAAGGTGAATTTGTCTGATCCAGCTGACCTCATGACCCTGTAGTTTGTCAGGTTTGTACAACATGGCCTGCTGCTGCTCTCTTACTGTATGCTCTTTCAACCAGATGCTGGAGGGCTGCTGAGGGCTCTGACCCAGTTCTCCCACTTGGCTGCAGACACAATTATTAACGGCAGTGCTACAGCCCACATGGCACCCACAGACCATGCAGATAGTAAGAAACCTTCTGTTTTGAATTTTACTTCGTCCAGTGACTATATTTTTTTCAACATTTCACACGGCAAAACCAATTCCATGTCCAATTTTCTTCAGCTCTGTTTCAGTAACATTATAATCATATATTGAATTAGATATGTGTATAGTTGATATATGATATTATGTATTAAAAGTGAGTTTTAACAGATGATCAATAGAGGGTTGATTTCTGCCCTTTGACCCTTTGCAGGACTGACGGAGAACTGCAGAGGCTGTGCCTTGCAGAGTATACAGTACCTAAGAGACCTGAAGTCCAAGACCAGCATCAAGAGAGCAGACCCAGCCTCCATTCGCATAATTGTACAGAAGATCCTGCACTTGGGTCAGGTGAGAGAAAACGTTGGGTAGAGCTTAAAGAAGAACAGACATCATTTTAAAATACTGAAAAGGAACAACTTGTCAAAATGCCAACTATCAGCAAGAACTTAACTTAAGTTTTTTTAAACTGTTTATTTGGCACTGTTTAAGGGAAACAACACCATAGGTATTAAATTGGATCTGAAATTGAATCACAGCTAAATAAAAAAACCTTTCTTCCCCTCAAAAGCTCAGAAATAAAAAAAATTAGGATTGGATTAATGACTAGATTAGTGGCTATAGTATTACAGGTGGATTAGCTAACAACCTTATATCTGTTAGAGAAAAGTACATAAATACATAAAAAATTGTATCCTAATATGATCATTTTAAATTGAGTAAGGCTAAATGTTCATGACTGGCTTAAACAGGTACAGACACAGTGTGTTATCATGCTACCAGTGAAGTTACTGAATTTTCCTATGTGTTTAACAGGGTGATGTCTGTTTTCTTTTGATTATGTACTATATTTTTTCCAACATTGTCCAGGAGCTGCGGCCAAAAGGAATGGACGTTCGTCAGGATGAGCTGGGTGATATGGTTGACAAAGAAATGGCTGCAACATCAGCAGCTATTGAGGAGGCAGTCCGCAGAATTGATGTAAGTATAGCTCATCTTACCTTAGAATATATTCGCACTGTCTTTAATGAACTTTTTTTTGTAGGCTGTAATTATTTGTATGGTTTTGAATTTAGGAAATGATGAACAAGGCAAGAAAAGACACATCGGGAGTTAAACTGGAGGTCAATGAAAGGTTTGTTCATTTTGGATTTTGTTTATCCAAATCAGTTTTATTGGCTATCCAAATCAGTTTTATTGGCTATCCAAATCAGGTCGAACTAAATCAAGTTTTTAAAGCCTTTGAAGATTTTTTTTTTTTCATAACTAACTTCATAAATGTATATTTATGTCTTATTGTTTTCCCTTTCGTTCTGCCAGAATCCTTTTCAGCTGCACTGATCTGATGAAGGTACTGTGCTGCTTTTTTCTAATTATCACGCTGTATATTTTCTCATCATTATCCCAGTGAGCATATGTGGGATGTTTTTGTTTTTTTTTGTCTAATTCTGCCTCTCTGTCTCTCGTTCCCTCAGGCTATCCGCATGCTGGTCATAGCATCCACAGACCTGCAAAAGGAGATTGTTGAGGGTGGGAGGGTGAGTCATCCTGTTCTAAATTTGAATTCAGTAGAGGCTGCTTATTGTTTGCTTGTGAATATTCTATTCTCCATCATTCAGAAATCTTATCTAACACAACTGACATTTTCCTCCTTAAGGGTGCAGCAACCATTAAAGAGTTTTATGCCAGAAACTCTCGCTGGACTGAGGGACTGATCTCTGCTGCCAAGGCTGTTGGATGGGGAGCCACAGAGATGGTGTAAGTAGTTTTCTTTTTAACTCACACATCAAGAGCAGTAATCTATTGAGCTGTAAAAGTGTGTGGCATCTAAATTGACACTAGAACTGTGTATTAACTTTCTTCTCAGAGAATCTGCTGATAAAGTGGTGCTGCACACGGGCAAATATGAGGAGCTCATTGTCTGCTCTCACGAGATTGCTGCAAGCACGGCACAGCTGGTCGCTGCCTCCAAGGTAATAGTCTGATATGTAAGAATGGTACTTCTTTAAAGTACTGGATATTACATAGTGCATGCCTTAAAGGTGGGAGTTTTACCAAAACATTATTGTAGTTTTAATCAACTAAAGGTTTGAAATAGAGATGAAATTGATGCTCTCTTCACCCATTACATCATTAAGATGAGATCCTCATGTGTATCGCACATAATTTGCTGAGGACGAGATGTGCAGAAACATGTTTTTACCTGTAATGGTCAACTTAATTGCATATGCTTTTATAAATCAAGTCTGAAACAGTGGAGACAAATCTGGTGATAAGAGGTTTCAAATGTTTTGATCATGTATTTGCAATTTTAAACGCCTCCCTTTGCAGAAACTGAAAGGCTAAATGTTTATACTAAACCTGCACTCAGGAGTACACTGATCTCACTTTACCACTCGCCTTCGTTCTCAGGTTAAGGCCGATCGCAATAGCAAGAAGCTGTCAGTTCTTCAGCAGGCATCTCGCAAGGTCAATGAGATGGCAGCTAACGTGGTGGCCTCCACAAAGACTGGTCAGGAGCACCTAGAGGACAAAGGCAAGTACACTTTAATGCGCTTAAAATACCGTCACACACTGTTGAGCAGCCGTCTAATATTTTAGTTTACACGCCTCAAACGAGCAGATACCATGGACTTCTCTGGGATGTCCCTCATCAAGTTGAGAAAAGAAGAGATGGAATCACAGGTAAGCCGTTTTACTTTTTAATTAATTAACAGCTAATTTTCATCAAAATAATATTGATTTGAAGTCTTCAAACAACTTCTTCTAATGAGATGGACCCAGTTGGCTTTAATGATCTGTTGATTTCTGTCCTCAGGTCAAAGTGCTGGAATTGGAAAATCAGCTGGGGAACGAGCGCCTACGTTTGGGTGAACTGAGGAAAAAACACTATGACCTGGCTGGAGTTCCTCCAGAACAGACTCCTGAAGGGAACGGGGAAACATCCTCACTGGCCCATCCTGTCACTATGTCACCTAAACCCAGCAAACCTGCTCTCATGAAAAAACCTGCGCTGGCACAAAAACCCAACATCCCACCTAAAACCTTGGTAAGATTTATGAAAGGCTGAATGATGCAAATAAGATTTTAAATAAATTATGATTGCTAAATCTTCTCCATTTTTTATGTTGCAGTTCAAGTAAACGCGAGCAGATTATGATACACTGCAGGACAGCTGGATTAAGAGAGACAGATTGCCTTTTTGTAACGAAATTGTTTCTTTTGAGTTGCATACTGACAATCCTATTTGTCGTGCTGCTTGTTTTCCTTTACCCCTCCCTGTTTGTTCTTCACCAAGATGGAACAGGAGCCTGATTTGTTTATTTTTTAGTTTTATTATTTTCCTATTTTTTAACCTTTGATGCCTTTATTGGATACACTGTCTTTGTCCCTCCTTTTTATTGTAAACAAACTTTTAAGATACAATCTTTATCATTTTAATCTCCGGCATCAAACACTAAACTATGATCATTTTCTTTTAATCTATTTGAAACTTTTTTTAATGATAAAATGCTACTGGTCCTTTAAAAAATAAAAAGAAGTCAACATTATTAATGACCACAAATCAGTTTCATATCTTGTACTAGTAGGAAATGGACTAGAGGAAATAACCTTTCTTTTTCTTGATGTACACTTTTATGTATTATTTATGTTGTGGTGGATGGTGAAGAAAACTGGAGAATCACCAATTGTGTGTCCACATTGCTGCAAAGGGTGGACATACCTCTTGCTTTGCCTTCGTGTTCAAAATAGCTTTTTTTCTCAACAATATAAGAATGTCTCAGAGGCCTTGAATTGTTATTTACCGATGCATTAAATTATTCCTGTATAGGAGATCACAGCTCACCCTGTGATGTGTTAATGTCACATCACCATAAGCGATCCTGGATACTATGTTATAGTTATTGATAGACTTTGATAGGCTTAATGCTTTCACAAAGGTGTTGGATTTAGGTGTCCATCAAATTCTTATTTTAGGCTGAATATAAAGGTTTAGGGTTAGTTATTGTACATCATCTTTTTGTCAAACTTGTTTTTGCCTCTGGGAGCCTTCCTTACAGGGTCTTACAGGCATCTTTTTATGTTCTGTGCTTTCCTCTACACAAAAAGTCTTTATACTCTCAGATCTATTAATATATTTTAGTAAAGATACTCGTGGTTTGTCCTTGTGCAAATGTCAGACAAATAAACAATAAATCCATGATTGAATGTTTTGTTTTATTATTAATTCTTATGGTTCTTTATTAGGTGTAATTGGTCAGAGGATTTGATCAATAATAGTTTCAAAAGTTTACATACAGGTTAGTTTCATTTAAATGTCTGGCTAGCTAGAGGGATTAAAAATTGAGAATGTCAATTGTGTATCCAAAACATAATCTAACTAATTTTATGTCCGTTTGCCTGTCCAAAATACTATGCATGTATTCAATCATTCCTGTCTTCACTTTAGGCGACTTGGCATAGAAGGGATATTTTAAAAGCCAAATGACAGACATAGAAGGTTAAAATCCAACATGACATGCGCAGTAGAGGTTTGGTCTGAGGGTTGCTGCCTTCAGAAGCAGTTGTAAAAATAACAATTTATAACTCAATGTCGAACTTCTGAGTTAAATGCTATGACTAAACGTAAGAAGCTTAGTCTATGAATCGCACATTTTCAACGTATTGCTAATTTTTTTTTTTTTTATTATTTTGAAGTTATAGAATAAGTGTGGCCAGCAATTTCAACATTGCCATGTGCAGTCAACTAAAACTCCTATAATCTGTTTCCTAATCCTCTGCAGCGTAATAAATCCTTTGTCATTTAGCCTGAATGAGACAGAGGAAAAAGACAGACCGTTTAAACCAAATTGTATTATTGATGCGACAGTCACGCGACGTTGAAATATACGACTCGTCGTGAGTCTTGAACGCAGCACCAGAGGAGCATACAGCCACAGACGTTGGTGAAGTTTACACTGTCAACAAACTCCAAACTAGTTGGCTGTACGTCCAAATACGCTCCATTTTGCTAATGCAAAGTCCTTTTTTTCCCCCGCCACAGTTAATATGAGCCTTTTCAGACAGCCAGAGGTAGATGGGATATGTTGACTGTTTAGAGAAAGCACAGGACAGACGGAGACCTACGTTATGTCAGCCCTGGACAGACCCGCGGCGGAGCTCACCGTCATGGACGTGTACGACATCGCGGCGGTGCTCGGACACGAGTTTGAGCGGGTCATAGATAAATTCGGTTGCGAGTGCCTGGTCGGAGTGGTGCCTCGGGTGGTACGGGTGTTGGAGCTACTGGAGGCGTTGGTCAGCCGCGGAGCAGGCGGGCACGAGGCCGAGGACTTGCGGGGAGAGCTGGAGAGGCTGCGCCGGGAACGGAGCGACAGATCCGGGCAGGAGAGGAAGCATCAGACGGTGGGTAGTCCGGTGCTTCGTCAGGTGGAAAGACGCTGAGAGTGTTTGGGTTTTTTTATTTGTTGTGTGTTCGTCTCCCTCTGCCTACCTCTGTTTTACCTGCACACTGTCTGAAAATCTGTACGATAAAAATGTTTGTGCCCTTGAGTGCTTTGATATTTCCCACCGTAGATCCAAAGTAAATACACTTTATATCTACAGTACAGTCATACATTTGTCTCTGTTTTTGGAGGATCTGTTCCGAAAAAATAAGTATTGACCCATTTTAACACGTTTTAAATGATACTGTTGATCAGCTGCTAAATGATTTCAATTTAAATGCAGCAAAACCCGTGCACACTCAGAAGTTAATCAGTAACTAATCACTAAGTTACTCATTTTTAGCCTACAGATAAATCAATCAGTGCATTTAAATGGACACTGGTAAATTAATCAAAACAGTAAATGCTGGAGGAAACGTGTGCCTGTGGTGAAGTTATCCGAGTGTCTTCATGTTTTCCTGTATATTTTGTGCTCAGGAGTTGGAGCAGGTGGAGGAGGTATGGCGAGGGGAAGTCCAGGACCTGCTATCTCAGATCGCACAGCTCCAGGCCGAGAACAAGAGGCTCTCAGTGAGCCTCTCTCTTAAGGAGTCCAGCATCACGGAGGAGGACCCACAAACAGAGGGTTGGTGGTCTGCTGCAGCCACAGATGTGATGGTGTCCATAATGCGACCGCTACACAGGAGACACTGTTCATTATGTCAGTTCATTTCATTAAAAACAGCTACGACGGCAAGCAATTGTCCTGTTGTGCAGTTTTAAATTATTTGTATGAAAGACAATCCTGGTTAGGTTAGGTATAATTTAACTTTTCATTTTCTCTCATTGATTAAACATTCAGATCACATAAACTGGTTTCTGCTCTAACTTTGGTAATGGAGACCTAAAGCAGTGCTTTGAGATTTGAATTTCCTCTCCACCAGGGGATTCTGTGTCCAGAGTCTACATACTGACTAGCAGATGTGATGACTGGCAGGAATCAGATAGTGTCAATAGACAAAAATGGTCTATTGTGTAACATAGTAAAGCGACACATAAGTCTGTATTCTGCTGCTCTTGAAATCTTTCCCCCCATCTGAGTCCTCAGATTTTGAACTCCGAATGATTCAGTCTACCAAAATCATTACAGAGTCTCTTGGATTTCGTTTACCATCTGGTGTATGTGAACTTGTCGAGTGTCACTGCCATGCCCACTCAGTATAAATACACACGTATTTGCTTCCTTGTTGGTTGGGCTGAAGTAGGCCAGTAAGACACACATCTTGAACTTGGTTGGGAGACTATTTTTGAAGCAGAACAAAATATAGCTCTCGTGCTAAACTCATGTTGACTGCAGCTGCACTTACTGTCAGGGCTGCAGCACACACACAGACACACACAGCATTCAAGCCACATTAAGAGGTACTGCATGACATTATTATTTTGCCTATTGATTTATTTGTTTTTTTCTAATTGATGTAAAAAAAATATAGTAAGAAGAAAGGTTTTAGGTAGAGACTTTTTATGCTTTTTTAACATTGATTGTGAGAGAAAGTCATTTTTCTGGGACTCGAGATTTTCCGTTAGATATTGCAATCACCTGTACTTTAAATAACCAAAATGTGGCTATATTGGAATTTTTACCACATCGAATCTTCAGAGAATAGAAGGTTTAGAAGTAGGTAATCTAATATCTAAAAAATGATTGCTCTGTGATTCACAAGTGTAACCTGTGGTTATTACTTTCATAACATCAGGAACATCAGAGAAAGAAAATCAAGAATTGAAGAAGCTTCAAGACTCGGTGGATAAACAGAGAGATGAAATCCGGGCTAAAGACCGCGAGCTGTTGCTCCGAAATGAGGATGTCGAAGCAGTAAGGACTTAATCTGTGGAAATCACAGCCCCTTTACAAGATGTGTTGCCTGCAAATTACCATCTTCTGTGACACAGATTCTCTCTATAACAGCTCCAACTGCAGCAGCATCGGCTGATGAGGATCAACCAGGACCTTCTTCACAGGGTAGCGGTGCTGGAGGCTCAGGGCAAAATGGTGATTCAGCAGAGGGCTGAGCTGGAGGCAGCAGCTCAGGCACGGCAGCAGGAGCTGGGAGCTCTGCAGATGGAGGTCTCTGGGCTGAGAAAAGAGCTCCAGGAGAGAGAACTAGAGAGACAACTAGCAGAGTTGGAAGATTTCCCTCTTTCAAGGTCTAGGATGTCACCACCTCAGCCTCTAACAACAGTAAGAAAAAAAAAAACACTGCGGAAGACAGTCTTTGAGATTTGGCCCGTTGTTTTCCTCATTTCCTGTTTTGTCTTACAGATCCAGTCTGTAGCAACAAGTTGTGAGTCTGTCAAGCCAGTGTCAGTGTGGGTGGAGTGTGCGGGGGACCCCGGCTTTGCCACAAAGTGCTTTGAGTGTGACGAAAATCTCTCCCATCTACCAAAGTTTTCTCATGGAGAGGATGATGAGAAAAGCTTTGACACAGACGAGAACATGGCAGCTCAGTTAATGGTAACCTCCCTTTTCGGTCCTCTGTGTGCTGTTTACATCTTACATCTGTGGTTAAACCCTGCTGCTTCTATAAGACTGTTCACACCAAACAGACTGTTGTCATTTGGGGCCTCCTTAAAGCCATGTTTATTTACATGCTTTGTTATATTTTAATGCCTTGTGCATTGGCTTCCGATGTTATTATTCTGATTCTATGTTCCATCATGTTCCGTCATGTTGTTGCCACCATGGACCTAATGATCAAAACAGCTCTGCCTCTGGGCCAGTGATTAAAGCTCAGTAAAAGAATCACTGAATTATTTGTAGTTGCCAAAGCACATCATTAAACTTCACCTTTACACCCGGATGGTTATTCCTGCCTCTGTTTGCTTTCAAAGGGAAAGTCTCAGGCATTTATTAATAGCGTTCACGCTGTGGTGGAATGTGTGTTTCCCCTGCAGAGTGGATCAGCTGGGCCAGAGCCAGAAGAGGGGACGGACAGCCCAGATCCAGAGTCAGACAAAGCTCGATTCACCCTGCAGGAGCTGCGGGACGTCCTTCAGGAGAGGAACGAGCTCAAAGCCCAGGTTTTCGTGCTCCAGGAAGAGCTGGCATATTATAAAAGGTACCGTTTGGTCACAGATGACAGATCTAAGTGTTTCATCGGGCATTGATATGAAAGGTAACCCCTGTCCTAATGCCTCAGTGAGGAGTTTGAGGATGACATCAGTCCCCTCGTTCCTGCTCCATCTCATCCGCCGCTCTCAAGTGATCCGCAGGAATCAGGAATAAGACGATTGTGAGTACTGAGTTGGACACTATACCAGGTTTACCCAGAACTTCACAACCTGTTTGACTTAACTTTTTTAAATCCAAATGTATTTCATATCAATCAGTAAAACAAATTTTGGTTCACAGATCATATTATACTGTCATTATGTTTGCTGTCTGAAGTCCTCTCCTGTCCCATCTGTCTCCATGTCACCACCTACTTTTGCTTACAATTTTGTCCTGTCTGGCCAGGATCTTCACCGCCATAATGCCAATGGTGGCAGCTGGTTTGATCACGGATGACCCCACACTGATGCCAATCAGAAGACTTGTTTCATTTGTATGACAAAAATAGTTTTTTATCATCATCTCAACCTTTTGCCAACATACATGTTTGTTTTGGCTTAATCGTGGCCTCACAGTCAATATGAATGAAATTTGCCTTATTTTTAGACGTACAAAATCATGTTTCATAACTGTTTTGTCAACATTGTGAAGTCAGTTTTTATGGTGGAGCTTGGTATTTCTGCAAGCTTAGCTAAACCAAATAGTTTAAAGAGTTCAAAAACTGAGAATTGCTTAGTGAATTATGAGTTGTTATACACTTATTTATCTGGAATATGGCCATCTACTTTATAAACTGGACATTTGGATTTACTTATGCTTTTAAAATGCACTAAAGAGACTGTTTGTTTCTGATTTTTAGTTTAAAAACTGTCCAAACTGAGTACTTGTGATCCTGTGGTTTCTCCTTGCAAACCCTCCTTGTGAATCACCAGAAACTACGTTTTCTACCAATAATAAAGAATGTATAAACATGCCTTAACTTCCGGTATTTGCCGGGGAGCACCTGTAAAATAGTGTTTGTTGCAAATAAAGAAAGAATGTTTTATTTTCATTTGCTTTTGGTCTTGCGTCACTATCAAATATGTACCGAACAAAGCTGAATAAAACAGCTAGATTTTGACGAAGACCTTCAAGAGAATACGTTTCAAGAGCGTTGTTTTAAGTTTACAGAGGGTCACAAACATTACATCACGTGATTTCTCACCTGATTCCGAGAGCCACGACAGCGGCACCGAGTGAGGGAGGCACGAAGACAGGGAGCTCAACTCAAGCCCGCCCGTTTTTCCCTCCCTCGGAAAACTTCCCATCTACGGTTCACCGTTACCGGGTGAGCTCTCTCGAAGCATAGACGATCTGTGCACTCACCTGTCGCTAGGATACTTCGCCCTCCTCTGCCGCGCAGCCATTGGCTGAGCCACGGACCATGCGTGATGGGGGAAGTGCCGCTCAGCTGGAAGGTGGTTACCTTCGCTCAGACAACTGTTCCGCCGAAGACAACAAGAAAAACTGAACTTTGTCTGTAGGTTGCTAAAGTTTCTGCTGGTGGGTCAATTTTTTTTTGCCCCACTTGTTTTTGGTCACTTTAAGGAGTCTTAGCTGTCCACTATGGAATTCGGTGAGGAGTCGTCGCCTGCTCTGGCTCTCGAGAAGGACGCGTTTGAGCTCACCGTCGAAGATGTGTATGACATTTCGTACGTGATCGGACGGGATCTGTTCAAAATAAGCAGCGCGGGAGAGGAGGTTTCGGATCTGCAGTTCAAGATCGTCCGGGTTCTGGAGATGTTTGAGACTCTGGTAAACAAATACAACCTGTCTCTGGAGGAGCTGAAAATGGAGCGGGACAACCTCAAGAGCGAACTGGACCGGATCATCCAGGAGGGCACCTCCACCGGACAGGGCACTGTGAGTTTTACGGCCATCTCTAGCCCAGGCTCTGCTCGGTGGGAGGTGGGTATGTCGAGGTAACTTTATTTTTTTCTTGCCTGTCGTCACAGCCAACAGCGGGACCGAACCAGCTGGTGGTGGACATGACTGACCCCAACAGACCCCGATTCACCATGCAGGAGCTGAAGGAGGTCCTGCAGGAGAGGAACCAGCTGAAGGCCCAGCTCATGGTGGCGCAAGAGGAGCTCCAGCTGTACAAGAGGTACCATGGATAACGCCTACATAGAGGATGCATAACAAGTTCTATAACGTCTAAGTTATGGACATTGTTTTACCTACTTTCATCAAGAGCTTTGGAGACATATTTGAACTCTGGTCCCATAGTCCAGTACAACACCAGTATTAGCATTCAGCAAATCTGATGCTTTCACTAAAGCAGAATATTATGGAGCTGTGATAAGAGATGCAATTATAAAGATTAGAGACACTAATGTGGAGGCATGCAGACAGGAATATGAATCACACACACACAAACACACACACACACACACACACAAACACACACACACATACATTTAAATCTGATTTGACTCACAATCATTCTTGGCTCTTTATTGAAGACGTGTCTATACACTTTTATAATGTTCTGTTATCACCATCATAGTTAAGGAGATGCTGCACAAAACATCAAATCCATGAATGTTTTTTTCCCTGCAGCGGGATTCTACCGCGTGCCGAGCCAGCCATGGTAGAAGTGGATCTGGAAACACCAGCAGCCACAGAGCACAGCCCGGCCACCATAAACGAGAAGACAACCATAGGGAAACTGTGAGTAACAGACCCTCTAGGAACAAAATGCTAAGACGACACAAGAGAAAATAATTTATTTGTCCTTGTAAAAGCTTTAGACACTTTTTAATGTGACCGAGTGAAGGAGTTCACATGATGTTGTAGTAAGCTTGCTGGGAGATTGTTCTCACAACCCCTCTCCTGTCTACTAATGATGTGCTTGTGACTGAATGAAGTCATGCTCAGTCTGAGGATGTTTGTGTGAGCGCTGAAGCAGGGAAAGACAGTGGATGGAAACTGTCTGTCTTCCAAACGGCTGCTGTCAGTAATTACAGCCTGCTGTGACTCAGTTCTGTGCGTTTTCTCTTCACCAGGAAGTAAAAAATAATAACTCTGAACTTTTTCTGCTTGTAGGTTCTCATTCAGGCGGAAATGAGAAAAACCCTTTCGCAAGAGGCAAACAGGACTTGTCGGGACAATTTGAACTTTTTATAACATGTTGATCTAACAAGCACAATATTTTGTACTTTAATTATAACCTCAGATGTTTTTTGTTTTTTTAGTATTACTGAGTTGCGGTAGAATCAATCAGATGAAGAGAACTGATCACAAGAAAACTGGAAAGTATAAACCAACTCGTGTTATCATGTTGAGATGCAGTTTTAAAAAAAAAATGTAAATCAAAATCAGGCCTTTAACTTTGATAAACTGTCAATATTATAAAAAAAATAATAGAAAGGCCACTCACATTTGATGAATTAAAAGGTTTACATTTGACCTGATACAGGTGTTTATAAAGCTCTGATTTCATGTCAGTACAAAGACATGACAGGAAACAGAGGACAAATAATGGCCTCTGTCCTGAAATACAGCACTATTTTAAAAAACCTGTGTCAACGTCAGTCTTGAGAGTAGTAGTAACCTTAGTGATTTGCAGATCGTTTCGAGGCTGATTAATTCAAACTGTTGAAACAGTGTTTTTTAGTTTATTATTAGCAAGCATTCAAAATTCTTTCGAGAATCCTTTACTTTGTAAATAAGCCATTAAGTGTTCTGTCGTTTTGGCTGGAGGGGGGTCGAACTGGGCAAATTCATCATGAAGCTTATTATTCACACGTTTCCATTTGAAAGAACTAGTTTTCAGTTGGACATACTGTGAAAATTGAGATTTTCCTCACTTCAGTGCTGTGAAAAGAATGTGGGGGCAGACTACAACTCACCCTTTGCTGCTTGCTTAAACCCTTTTCTTTGTGTTAAATCTTAACAGGTCCTCCCATAATCATGGTTAAAAAAGACTTTTAATCGTCCTAAATTTTCTTTTGCACTGGCTGGAATGAAACTTTATTCAATAGTTGGCATTTCCCAGCATATAATTCATAACAAAGAGAAAACCCTATGAACATTGTAACATTACCTGTGAGGAAAAATAATTCTTCAGCGTTTTCAGCCTCTGGCTGCATTTAACTTAGAAATATATAAAAGCACAATAAAAGCAAATTTAGCAAAAATAGACTCTTCAAGGATGTAGACTGTGTCCTCCATTAAAAACTTGGTTGGTTTTCACTCAGTGAAAAAGCATTTTGAAGCCCAATTTCACATAAAGGGGACACGTTTGTCTCAGAGAGAATCAAAATGAGAACACATGTTTCAGTATTTAAGCCAAGGGTGTGCGGAAACTGAAGCCTTGCTTCTGTCACCGTAGTCATAAAGCAGTTCCTCCTCTGCCTCAATGTCTCTGGACGCCACCAAAATCAGGTGAGGCGCTCCATCGATGGGGTGCAGCCTTGTCTGGCAGTTCCCGTTTTTACTGTGGTTAATCAGCCTCCCAAGGCGTCCCGTTTCCTTTGTGGCATCCACACTGTAATGAGTAAAATGCAATCCTGTCACAGCAGCATGAATCAGGTACCCATGATCGCTCCTTTTAAACCTTTGTCTTGTACTGATTTATTACTCTGTGAATGCACAGATTTTTTGCTGTAGTATCTGTATGTGACACATTCTTAAGGTGATGCTATATTTCAATTTACTTGCTCATACTAATTGAAAGTCAGTATAAAGCACATCAAAGCTCCAGACATTCCCAGAAATATAGCATCACCCCCAACACACCTTTTTATGTTTGTGTTTTAAATTTAGACATACCTATGAATTGTTTCTCTAATTATTTTTTTACATATCAAGTGTATTTGAATAGGTTTTGATGAAAAACTGTCACAGCTTATATGAAAATATATATTAATAAACAACAATTTCTGCATATAAATAAGTCACTTAGAGTCTTCTTCTAAATTAAAAACCAAAGAAAACCTGGCAAGAACACAGAAATCTAGAATATTACAACCGCATTGATATGAAATCTTTTTAATGTTATCAACATTCCCATCTGCCGGGAAGCTGTGCAGCGTGATGGATCCTTTTAACTGTGAGTTTGTCTGAAGAGTATTATGCATGCAGAACTTTAGTGTTATAAGCACTAGTTATATTTAGACTTACCAGTATGTTTTAGATTGGTACTGGAAGTAGTACATGTAGCAGCCCGTTTGGGGATCCTCTGCATACTCGGCTTCTCTCATCTTAGCCTGGGATAGATCCAGTAGGTCACCATGGTACTCAACAACATACTCTCCCTTTTTGAAACCCTTAATAGCAAAAACTCCTCTTCCTTTTCCTTCTATGTGCTTGACCTGTTGACACAGGGAAATGCCAGGTTGAACTGATTTAGTATACATGTTAGTCACTGTAAGACAATAAAAAATACCCAATTTGTCACAACCAAATCATCAGTTAATAACGGCTCTGAATACTGCAGTCAAAAGGGTGAACCAGTTAAAGGTTACCTCCATTCCTTCTTCAGTGCCGTTATTTATCAAGTCATCAAGGTGCTTGTGTTCTTCACTCTGGCAAAAATTAGGTGCAACAAAGTTCAGTCAGAAAACATACCAACATGAGAATTAATTCTTTGATCATACCTTCAGCTCGGTTTTAGTTTTTCTGTTACTCCGTCTGATGGGAAAATAGTCAGTGACCTTTCTGTTTTGAGGAGCTTTGTTCTCCGTCCTGAAAATAGAAACATGATGACTGTCAAATTACCGGGGAAAGAGGGCATGTATTTCTTTTTTTTTGGACAGCCAAAGCTGATGCATTGGCTTTCTTCACTCACTTTTTTGCCCTGCGTTTGTGACCAGTTGTTCTACTCTTAGGTTTGAGTGGAAGTTTGCTGTCTGTTGCAGACTTGGCATTTGGTTCTTTGTTCAATTGTTTCTGCTCGAGTTGGTCAGTGGTTTGCTCTCTTGTCTCATGATTGAGAGAAACAGCTTCTGGTTTCGGCTCCTTGGACTCACAGCTCTCAGGCTGAACTTTGCAGGGTACGTCTACAATAAGCGGGAGACACAGAATAGAAGGGAATGCAGCCTTAAACATTTAGCCTTAATCGAGGATGTGAAGCTTCAGAAATGCTGTTAAGCTGTGTCATAAGATCTGCTAGTGAACACAGCAATCATTCAACTGGAGATGCCTCCATCATATGGGAAGATCTCCTAACCACATGATGACAAGGTAGTCAATAGCAACAAAAATGTTAAGAAAAACAAATGCCTGTAATGTTAGTGGCCAAACACCAGGCTTTCATGTCAGTCAGCTTTAAAACAACGCACCTTTTTTCAGCTTTGACATGTCAGGATTAGTTGCATCAGAATCATTTCCCTCCTTGATTAAACTGTCACTCAGAGGGGATCTGGGTTTACTCGAACTTTGCAGGCTCTGGAAATTTGACTGCACCTTACTGATACAATTCTGCAAGAAAAATGGACCACATCAGTTATCAAATGAAAAACCTTAACAGGAACGAAGCAATGACAGTTTATTTCAGAAACAGAACTCTGTCGGGATGCAGATACTCATTTTACCAGCAGAAGGCCGAGAATGAACGCCTGACCTATGATGGCAATGAGTGTCTAAAATAGGGTAATTTTACCTCTTACTACTCTACTTTAGACGCTGTACAGCTTAGTTGTACAGCATCTAAATTATATAAATAGTTTTAATGAATCAAATATGGAAATACTACATGAAAAAAGTTCAAAATAACCAATTTCAATATATATA